TTTTTATGTGGTTGCTGAGGATCAAACCCAGGGTCTGGCACTTGCAAGGCGAGTGCTCTACCGCTGAGCCACAACCCCAGCCCCAGATTTGTTCTTTTTAAAGTCCTTTTTACTTCTAAGTCTGTTTAGATTTTTTTTTTTTATTTCTTAATGATTTAGTCTTGATAGGCTTTAATATTTCTAGGAATTTGTCCATTTCTCCTTGGTTATCTGATTGTTAGTGTGTAGTTGTTCAGAATAGTCTCTTATGACCCTTTTTGATTTCTTTTCTTTTTTTTTAGAGAGAGAGAATTTTTTTAATTTTTTTTTTTTAAGTTTTTGGCAGACACAACATCTTTGTTTGTATGTGGTGCTGAGGATCGAAACCGGGCCGCACGCATGCCAGGCGAGCACGCTACCACTTGAGCCACATCTCCAGCCCATCCTTTTTGATTTCTATGGCATCAGTTGCAATCAATGTCTCCTCTTTCATTTCTGATTTTATTAGCATACCCCCTCCCCACTTTTTAAGCCTAGCTTAAGGGTTTGTCACATTTTTTATCTTTTCAAAAACACAAATCTTAGCTTCATTGATTTTTTTTCCCCCCCTATTTTCTCTGTTTTGTTCATTTCTGCTCTAATCTTCATTATTTCCTTCCTTCTGCTAACCTTGGGCTTAGTTTATTCTTCTTTTTCTAATTTTTGAGATATAAAATTAGGTTGTTATTTCCTTTTAGTACTACTTTTGCAGTATCTCAAAAAAGTTTTAGTATGTTGAATTTTCACTTATCTCAAGATATTTTTTTGATTTCCCTTTTGATTTGTTCTTTGACTCATCATTGTTCAAGAGTATGTTGTTTAATTTTGACATATTTTTGAATTTTGAAGTTTTCCTTCAGTTGTTGATTTCTAGTTTCATTCCATTGTGTTTAGAAAATATACTTGCTATGACTTTATTCTCCATAAATTCATTAAGACTTGTTTTGTGACCTAACAGGTCTATCCTGGGGAATCTTCTATTAAGCTTGAGAAGAATATATATATATTGTTATATCTAGTTGTTTGGATGTTCAAGTCTTCTGTTTCCTTACTATTTTCTTTGTCTTTGATTCTATTCATTATTGAAAGTGGGGTATTAAAGTATTCTACTATTATTATGTTGCTGTTTCTCTCCTCAGTTCTATCAATGTTTGCTATATATATTTAAATGCTTTGATTTTGGATATATATTTGTCTCAAGTGAATTTGGTCTGACTAAATAAAGATATAGACACAGAAAGTACCTTTTCTTTTTATTTTATTTAATTAATTTATTTATTTATCAGTGACGGCTCCTTAGCCACAGCTCCCACGAGGGGGGCAAAGCAGGCAAGAAAGAGAGGGAGCATGCCTGAAAACCAGGTTTTTTTGTGGGGGGGGAGAAGCCATTCATATGAGGCAAGGGGTAGTATTACAACAAACAAGTGGGTGTAATCCAACCCCATTGGGTGATTCCCACTCCTGGAGCTGTACCTCTTATCCACGTGGAGGTAAAGTCCAAATTGTATTGTGGGGTGCAGTACCTATTCAGTACCTCTTTCTCAGGACTTAAAGGTGAGTGCATAGCACCTGTCCAGAGCGGCTTTCGACATTTATTTATAATTGTTATATCTTCCTGATGGTTCTTTGTGATGGAGTTAAAATCTATTTTGTCTGATACACATGTGACTCTTAGTTACCATTTGCATGGAATGTCTTCTTCCAACTATGTAGAGTATTGTCTTCTATTCCTTCACTTTCAGCCTGTGAGTATCCTTAAATCTGAAAAATTAAGACAACATATATTTGGGTCTTCTTTTTTATTTATATATTTTTAAAATTTTTTTTTTAGATGTTGATGGACCTTTATTTTATTCACTTATTTATACGTGGTGCTGAGAATCGAACCCAGTGCCTCACACATGTGAGGCAAGTGCTCTACCACTGAGCCACAATCCCAGCCCCTGGGTCTTCTTTTTTAAACCAGTCAGCCACTCTTTGTCTTTTGGTTAGAGAATTTCATCCTTTTACATTTAATGTAATTTAAAAAAAAAAAAATATGGGGTGCTGAGGATCGAACCCAGTGCCTCACACATGCTAGGCGAACGTTCTACCACTGACCCACAATCCCAGCCCCTAATGTAATTGTTAATAGGGTAAGATTTAACTTCCATTTGTTAGTTGTTTTCCATGTTGTAGTGCCTTTGCTCCTTTTTCCCTATCTTCCTTTGTATTTTATTGATTTTGTGAATGTGTGTGCATGCTTGCATGCATGTGCACATGTGCATTGGCATGCTTTTATCTTTTCCCATTTTCCTTTATTTTTCGTTTGCCATGAGGTTTACATAAAACATCTTGTAACAGTCTATTTTAAGCTGGTAACAATTGCAAACCCATATAAAACCTATATTTTTACTCCCCATTCCCATACTTTCTTGATTCAAATAAGATATTTTCCTTTATTATACATACCTTTTTTTTTTTTCCTATAAAAATGGGAATACTAGCTGGATGTGGTGGCACATACTTATAGTCCCTGCAACTCAGGAGGCTGAGGCAGGAGGATGTAAGTTCAAGGACAGCCTAAGCAATTTAGTGAGAACTGGTCTCAAAGTAAAAATTAAAAAGAGCTAGGAATGTAGCTCAGAGATAAAGTGCCTCTCAGGTCCATCTGCATCCCTAAAAATGTCAGGGAGTAGGGGTGCATAATAATCTATTTAGCTTAAGTCGGGGATTCTTGAAATGTGGTTTGTATACCTGTAGGGATTCCCTAAGATTTAAGGCAGGTCTGTGAGGTCAAAACTGCTTTCACAGTTCTAAGATTGTTATTTGTCTTTTTCACTGTGTTGACATTAGTAATGGTGGTACAAGAGAAATAGTGGGGAAAATGTGCTGGCTTTAGACAGAATTGTACTAGTAAGTTGGTATATTCTTTTTTTTTAAATACTTTTTTGTAAAACATATTTCTTTTAGTTGTCAATGGAACTTTATTTTTATTTATTTATATGTGGTACTGAGAATCGAACCCAGTGCCTCACGCATGCTGGGCAAGCACTCTACCACTGAGCCACAACCCCAGCTCCAGTTGGTATATTCTTTACTGCTCTTATTTCTGGTGAAACTAAATGCTAGTTTTACTTAAGGATGTCTTTGGGGTAATAAAGAATTACTTTTATTAAACAAGCTAACCCTTTGAGTCCACGGTAATTTCTTTTTAATTTGTGTAATGAGGTAGAAATTATGTGTAAAGCTCTTTATACTAAAGTACACTAGTTGGCTTAAAGAAACACACATGAGCAATTGATTGTGATTTGAGCTCAATTAGCTCAAATCAACTAATATATATATTAGTTGTAGATGGATACAATATCTTTATTTATTTATTGTTATGTGTTGTTGAGGATTGAACCTAGTGCCTTACATGTTGCTAGGCAAGCACTCTACCACTGAGCTACAACCCCAGCCCTAGACTATCACTTTTACTACAAAGAATGAACACTGACAAACTATGGCAGACATTTGTTTGGAAACTAATAAAGTGAGCCTATCACTTCAAGGAAAACACTGCATTTGTTGCCCAGTGCTAAAATTTAAACTTTTCAAATGAAAATAAGAATTTTGGAAAACTTCTAAATACCACCATGTGCTTTGAAAGTTTTAAAGGGTGTTCCAATAAGATCATTGGTGAAATTAATGATGGTTTTAGATTTACATAAACCTATAAAGATCTGTATAAATCAGAATACCAGTATTTTCTAAAGTAGTGGAAAACATGATTTTTATAAAATCATTCATAAATAAAAGAACAGAAACTAGGACTGTAGATTTTAATGTAACAATATGAAAACTTCATTGACATGGTTTTAGGTTCTACATTCTAACCTTTTAGAACTACCACACGTTTTGTTGAAATATTAAAGAATATATCCACAGTTATCTCAAAAAAACCATTCAAATTCTACTTCTTCCTAATTACACGTCTGATGTTCTTAATATCTATTTTATCAAAGCAGCGTGGCATAAGGTTGAATGCCAAAGCAGATATGAGAATCCAAATTTAGAGTTGCGAAAGTGTAAAACAGTGCCTTCATCCCACCAATTTTTTTATTTTGAAAATAGCTATTTTTGGCAATATGTAAAAACGTGGATGTGTAACCGATGTGATTCTGCAATCTGTATACGGGGTAAAAATGGGAGTTCATAACCCACTTGAATCAAATGTATGAAATATGATATGTCAAGAGCTTTGTAATGTTTTGAACAACCAATTAAAAAAAAAAGAAAATAGCTATTTTTCATAAAAATGTTCATGTTGAACACAAAAGATTTAAGTATTGATTTTAACTTAATTTTTTTCATTCTTAGTTTCTAATACCTTAATATTTATAAACGAACCATACATAAACAGAAGTTCTTTAGGATTCTCATTTTCTTTCTTCTATTTCTTTTTTTTCTGGGTGATGCTGATCTCCTGCCTCTGTTTCCTTGCCTCACTTATGCTAGGCAGGTTCTCTACCACTGAGCTACAACCCCAGCCCACTAGTTCCTGTTTTTAAGATTATAAAGAAATCCTGAGATTTAAAAGTTCGAGATTTGTTGTTTAACCTTCCAAGTTTGTTGAAAGTCAAAAAGATGGTATTCAAAAAAAAAAAATGGTATTCATGTATGTGAAATTATTGGTAAAATATTTAAATATAGATTTATAAATAAGTTTTGCACTCTTTTATATTGTTGTGCAAGTCTTTCAAGTTGGGAGAAGAGACAAAGAATGTACATTAAAAAAAATTGCTATTAATAATGAAGCTTGTTATCTCAAGGTGACTGGAGAGAATTCACATATAAATCTTCTGCTCCCAAACTAAAGAAAAGGTAGCCTTACGATGGAAGTTTATCTTGTAACAAAAGAACACAATAAGCCAAATCCTGCTATTCTTGAATATAGTCCATTGCTATGGTCCAAGTTGCTTTTCATTTTTGAACTTTGTCCCCTTCTTCCCTTGCAGGTATAGAGCAAGATGCAGTAAATACTTTTACCAAATATATATCTCCTGATGCTGCTAAACCAATACCAATTACAGAAGCAATGAGAAATGACATCATAGGTAAGTAGTGCTTGAAGTTATAATAAAAAAAACCTGACTATTTTTGATTATTGACCAAGAGGGTTTTTTGTCTTTTTTTTTTTTTTAGTGGTAGAGGTTAAACCTAGGGCCTTGTACATGCTAGGCAAATACTCTACCACTAAGCTTTATCCCTTACACTTTTTTTTATTTTGAGACAAGATCTCACTAAGTTGTTCAGGCTGTCCTCAAACTTCTTATCCTCCTGCCTTGGCTTCCCAAGTAGTTGAGATTACAGGGATGTGCCACTATGCTCAGCTAAGAGATTTTTTTTTTCTTTTTTTTGGAGAATTTTTAATGAACATTGAATAACCTAACATACTTCCCTTCCTAGTCTGTTTTCTTATATCTGTTACATAGATGTATAGGTCACTTAAAAAGTTGCTTTCCTATATGTGGACCTGAATTCCTAGATTTTAACCTGAATAACAGCAAAAGCAAGAACAATAACAACATATTTATTAGTACAATGTCCAGATGATAAACTAAGGACTTCCCATAGATAAATTCATTTCAACTTCTACAGAACCTTATTGGATAAGTAGCTATTATTTTATGAATGAGGAAACTGAAGTAGAGACACATTAACTACATTGTTCAAAGCAACATCTCACAGTCAGAATTTGAGATTAGACCATACCCTAATTGGTAGTGTTTTCATACTTAGGTTGGAACCAGCTTTCTCTTATGCCCTCTTGCCCCTGCCCCCCCCAAAAAAAAAAAAAAAGGCTAGAATAGAAAATTCATAGTGTTTCCCATAGTAAGGGCAAAGATTTCAGGAATTTTTTTTCCATTATACATGCATATATGTGTGTATAGATAATACTGAATGAACAACTTCTCTGTAGATCATAGTAAAAAAAAGTTTGAAAGCTTTTACTGTGTTTCATGAGGACGACCTATATTCACAGAAAAAAAATGGTTCATTTATTCATCAGCAAATATTATATTCCAATAAGTTCTAGTACTAAATTTTGTTATTTTTATTCACCTCAAACTTAGTACTTGTGATTTATGAAATAAAGTACCTTACTCCTAGTAGGTTATTCTAGTATGGGGCTTCTTTATTCCTTCCTGTGAGTACTTTGCACTCACTTATTATAGATGAAGCATGACCCCTTTCAGGCTCAGCTGTGGTTCTTAAATTAGCCCACCATACTTTCCAGTGAACACCTGTTGGCTATTTTGGGGTACATGAAATGATGCCCCTGTTTTCCTTTTTCTTCCATGCAGACACCTAAAACATAGATTTGTGGATGCTGGTGGGTTGTCTCCATCTGTATTTTGAGGGTTGTGGAATACTACTAGTTCACCTACTTTTGTTGACTGATCGTGTTATGGGATTTTGGTTTTCTGTGGCGGTGGATTAAACCTGGGGCACAGCTGAATTGCCCCAGCTCTTCTTAATCTTGAATCCTTCTACCTTGGCTTCCCTGGTAGCTGGGATTATTGGCATGGGCCATCATACCCAATGGATTTTGAGTTTTCTACATAGTTGGAATTTGTTGCTACCATCTTCTAGACTTTCCTGGACCATCTTTTCTTAGTAATACAATTGGGGTGAGGTTGGCTAAAAGTTCCAGTTCTCTAATCCATGCCTTGATCTTTTCTGGTGACTAGTCCTCATCCTGATGCTCTTTGGTGGCTACCAGTCATCTCATTAGCACATTAAAAAAAAAAAACACAACAACTTTTTATCACTGAGAAGACTTCCAAGAATTTTAGGAAGTACATGTTAGGAAAGTGGACAAAGACCATGTACATATTTCACACTGTTACAGCTAAGTGTTGTCTAGGAGAAAGTGGGAGTAAATGGATCAGTGGACCAGGAAACTATAATGCAGTCTGATTCTTGTGGAGTTTTTGTTTGTTTGTTTGTTTGTTTCATTAAGGTCCATCTAACAGCATGAACTCAGAGTGAGACCTCATGGTTGTTTGTCTGACAGCCAACTAAATAGCTTCTTTATTTGCAGTTGTTTAGGCAGTTCCATTTGTATTGTAAATTTTCCACCCATAACTTTTTTATTTTTTGCAGGGGATCCTGGGGATTGAACCCAGGGCCTCATAGGTGCTGGGCAAGTACTTTATCACTGAATTTATACCCCCAGCCCAACCAGTAACATTTTGACAAACTTATTTATAAGTAAATGTTTTTAACAAATCCTTAATTCTTCAGGTTTCAATCCTTGGAATACAATTGCCAATTGAAAGAGTATGTTCATTTTTAACACTTAAGTTAGAAACTGCCAAGCTGCCCTTTAAAAGATATGTTAATTTATATTCCCACTAACACTTATTGTAGTCTTCCCATGCTCTTCATCAAGTATATTAAAAAAGTACATTATTAAACATTATTAACATCAAACATTATTAAACAAGAACACTTATGTATTGTTAAAATTATCCTGCTTTATTAAACAAAAGTATAATGCCTTCTTATTCTAATTTGTATTATTTAGTGATCATGTATATCTTTTTATATTTATTGACCATTTTATGTTAGTTCTTGTGAGTTGTTAGTTCTTTGCTTGTTTTCTTTTGGGCTTTTCTTACTAGTTTGCAAGGTTTGATAAATTAATGATAGTAATCTCCTAATATATGCTACAGATTTTGTCTTTTTATTTTGTTTTTGAGGGTGTTTGAATAAAAATGTTATGTTATTAAATCTTGATTGCTACTTTTATATAATGTACATCGCAAAAGACTTTTTCAAGCTGTTATGTTTTCTTTTAATTCTCTTTAAACCTCACTTATATGTCCTTATTGTTATTTCCCAATTTGATTAACGAATGGGTATAGTTTGAATTTAGTGGAAGCTTGACTCTTTACTGTTTCTTTTACAGCAAAGATTTGTGGAGAAGATGGACAGGTGGATCCCAACTGTTTTGTTTTGGCACAGGCCATAGTCTTTAGTGCAATGGAGCAAGAGTAAGCTAGTTTTGTATTTTCACATTTTGCATTCTTGGGAATTTGGGTTCAGTGTTAAAAATGGACTTCACTCAACTAAAAACAAAGTATCTTTGAGGATTTAAATAATTCGGATATGTGTAAAGTTATCAAGCACATTCTAAAACTCTTGGTTAATAGTTTTTTAAATATAAATAATTTAGATTCTAATAAAAACAAAACAATTTCTTCTTTTAATGTTAATATTGCCTAAGTTAAAAGAATTTGTTTTTAGTTCTGAAGTCATTTTGGAGGTGATTGAGGTTAATGTGTGAGTATTCAAATTGGTTTATTTATTTAAGTGATACATGTCTTCAGATGGATATCCTAATTTTTTAGTTATGTTTTTTATTTAGTGTGTGCTGTATAACTAAATCCACATAGATTTGTTGAAATGGCCTCAGGGCTTTTTAAAATGCCCTTAAAAAATCTTGTGTACTCATTTCTTTCATTCAACATTTATTAAATGCTCTATGCAAGGCATGGTTAGGTATAATACCTGCCTCAAAGGAAGTTAACAGCCTAATAAAAGAAACAGGGCATGTTCTTTGATTATTGTAATACAAAGTACCATGTGTGTTAAATATTACAGGAGGGTTACAAAGTCTTGAGAGGTAGGAGAGAGTACATAAAGATAAAGGAATCAGGAAGAGCACCGTGGGAAGTGAGGTAGCCTTGACCCAGGCCTTTCACATACCATAGGGACAGTATGGAAAGAGTCTTGTTTTTCCCAATTAAGCTCTTTCCTTGGGTGTTCCCTCAAATTTTCCCTTTTTTGTCCATGTGCAGGCACTTTAGTGAGTTTCTGCGAAGTCACCATTTCTGTAAATACCAGATTGAAGTGCTGACCAGTGGAACTGTTTACCTGGCTGACATTCTCTTCTGTGAGTCAGCTCTCTTTTATTTCTCTGAGGTAAATTCTGCATTTCTTTTTACACTCTACTAGAGCATTCCAGCCTCTGAACTATAAAATGCTGGGGCCCCATCTATAGAAAATGACATAGAAGATATAAGTCATTTCCAAAGATGTATTATTGTATTGTTTTTTATCTAATGGCAAGAGTACTTTGATGGCATATTCATCAAAGAGAACATGAAAATTCCATTTAAAAATAAAAAGATTCAGTGTAAAATAACTCTAATTTTGAAAACCTAATTAAGCCATTGCTTATGAGAATGCATGTTTTTAATTATTTGAAACTATTTTAAAGCCATAGAATTTTTTGACAGATTATATTAGCTCATGAATATGAGAATATTTTTGAAAAGTTTAAAATATATTACAGATAGAAGAGATTGAGTGTAAGGTTTTGGTCACACTGATTAATGCATTAAGCGTAGAGCCATCAGTAATTATTGTCATTTTTTAAAAGTCTCTTATGTACCAAATAAAGCTATAGAATTTGATACTTAATTCCAGTACATAAATAATTGGAGTCCCAACTTCTGAAGAAAGAAAAGTAGTAAAATTTTTCCTATGCTCATCATTTTTACTTAAGCTACTTGATAGGATTACATAGTGAAGCATTTGCAAAATGAATAAGTATACTAATCTCTTTGAGGCATGGTTTTGTTTCATAGCATTTGTTAGGTTTCAGCAAATGGAATTATTTTGTTGCAAAGGAAGTGACTATTAAGAGGATTCCCAATCTCACAAAATGTAATCTGGACACTTGGATTCTCTTTTGCCAGAATACTCAGTTGATTTGTTTTTACACCCTTTCTTTGCCATAATTTAAATCAGTATTTGTTCAGGTTAATATATTCTTATGGAATGATGGAAATGATCAAGTGTAAAAGATTTGGTTTGATTTTCTTACCTTTTTTTTTTTTTTTTGTATCAGAGATTGAACCTAGGGGTGCTTAACTACTTAGTCACCTCCCCAGCCCTTGTTTAAAATATTTTATTTAGAGGCAGGGTCTCATTGAATTGCCTAGAGCCTCCCTAAATTGCTGAGGTTGACTTTGAACTCATGAGCCTCCTGCCTCAGCCTCCCTACCTCTGGGATTATAGGCGTGTGCCACTGCACCCAACTACTCTTTGTATTTTTGACGGTGGGAACTACTAATCCAATTTAGTGTAATTTTTACTCCAGTTCACTAAATTTTGCATCTATCTGTGTGGTGGGTTTTTGTTGTTGTTGTTGTTGTTGTTCATTTCAGGTGTTCTGCCCTTGCCAAGAATATTTTACAACTTCTCTATCTCAAATGACTGTATGCCCTATTGCTAACTGATGTTAAGTAAAAAAGTAGATTTGTTTTTGCTTTTTGCTTATATCCTATATTTTAATGCATAGGGCTCATGAAGTAGACAAGTGAAAGAAATCCATTTTTAGTCTTATTTTCCCTTTTGTGTTTTTCCTTTCTAGTACATGGAAAAAGAAGATGCAGTAAATATATTACAATTCTGGTTAGCAGCAGATAACTTCCAATCTCAGCTTGCTGCCAAAAAGGGCCAGTATGATGGACAAGAGGCCCAGAACGATGCTATGATTTTATATGACAAGTGAGTTTTATTGGTAGATGTATTCAGCAGGTATTTACTGTTTGAAAACAAAGATGAATAAACTCAGTCTCTGCTGTCAAGGAGCTCAGATGAAAGCTGCTTTTTATATGGTGTGTGTAAGGCTTTGTGGGAAACAAAAGTTTCTGTTGGGGGAAGGGGATGTTTATGTGTAGAAGTCAGGATAACAATATGGTGTTCAGGAAGGGTTTCATAGGAGAAGGATTTGATTTGGATCTGAAAAGTGAATGGAATTTTGCCAGCTCGAGAAGGCAAGGAAAGAAAGTTCTAAGTAAAGATATTAATACAAGCAGAGTCATAGAAACTTTAAGGAATGTGGCACTTTCAAGAAACCCGAGTTTGAGGGCTTAGTGGCAGAACTGTACTTGGCATGCCTAAGACACTGTGTTAAATCAGGAAAAAGGAAGGTAGGGAAGGAACACAAGTTTGAATCATTAAAAGGATAAGGAAGGGCTGGGGATGTGGCTCAAGCGGTAGCGCGCTCGCCTGGGCATGCGTGCAGCCCGGGTTCGATCCTCAGCACCACATACAAACAAAGATATTGTGTCTGCCAAAAACTAAAAAATAAATTAAAAAAAAAAAAAAGGATAAGGAATACAAGAGGAACATGTAACTAGTTGGTATAGATTGCGAAGAGATATCTTTGAGGGGATGGGGTTGGCTCAGCAGTGGAGCACTTGCCTTGCAGTGTGAGGCACTGGCTTGATCCTCAGCACCACATGAAAATAAATAAAATAAAGGTATTGTGTCCATCTACAACAAAAAATATATATGTGTATATATATTTTTAAAAATCTTTGTTTGAGTGTATCACACTTCTGGTGCAAATCTGCTCAATTACATTATAAATGAATGATAGTTTTGCATAATTGTTGGTTGTTTTCTATTTTTGGTATAGGGGATTGAATTTGGAGGTTCACTCATGCTAAGCTTGTGCTCTCCCAAGCTATAGCCCCAGCCAGTTTTTTATTAGCTTTCCCTGAAAACGAGAAGTTGCAAAGATCTTGTAGTAAATAGAATTCAAAATAGTTGCTTGGATAAGTGATAAGACTGTGGCCAGATCCAAAACCTGAGGATGTCTGTTCATTTAAAGTTTCTTATTTTATGGAGAAAAGTAATTTGTTATTTTCATCCATAAGCAAATACTAAGATAATAACTTGAGGATAGAGAAAACTGTAAAGAATGTTAGAATTGGAAGGAGAGCCAAAATCTTATAGGCCACTGGTCCCTGAACATCAGTCTGCAGGCTCATGCCAAGTTGCATGAGTCACCTGGGAGCTTGTTAAAAATAAGTTTCTGGTTATTTTCCGGTTATCTCGAAGATTTGGATTCAGCAGGTTTCAGTTATGCCCCAGGAGTCTTTATTTTAGAAGATAATTCCAGGTAATTCTGATGAATAGCCAGATTAGAGATCTAGTCTGATTTTCTTCATTTTGCAGATAAAGACACTTAAGGCCGAAAGAGGTGGTAATTTTTCCAAAAGACATTACATAAAAAAAGATTGTTAAATCTTGAAACAGTAAGAGTTTACAAATTTGATCTGGGGTGCCTGAAAATTCATATCATGAAGGAGTATTTACCAGTTTATTAATTACAACATGGGAGGCTCACTTTTGGTTGTGAAAATTTTGACTAGAAAAGAGTTTTCTATATGCTGAGTCAGTGGCACTAGCACTAAACTAGCAAGGTCCTGGCTGGAGCTCAGTAACCACAGCAGAGACCCTGCTTCCCACTGGATTCCATTTCACCTTTGGAGCTTTTATTAAATGAAGATGACTATGTGACATCCCACTGGCACCATCATTTTGCCAGGCTCATTGTGCCAGATTTGATTTTGTAATTCCCAACTTGTTTGTGGTTGTATGCATCATCAGTCAGGATCTTCAGACTTTTTGTGTTTCTGTCAGAAACTAGAGATATAAGCTACTCAAAAGTGCTGGAAGAGATACTTTTTTTTTTTTTTTTTCTGATTTAATGTGTTCTTTGTATCTACTTCATAATCAGTTTACCAAAATACCAGCTACATTTTATCCCATCAAATTGGAAATCTTTGAGTAACCGTTATTTACTCCTTTTCCTTTCTATATCAAATCACTAGCAAGTCTTGTTTTCTTGAAATATATCAAATTCATCCACTTGACCCTTGGTAGCATTTTGTTTTGAATTCCTACATGTTTATTGCTATGCCTCCAAATTATGATGGTGTGTTCTTATTGTGTCCTGTGCACAGATCTTTTCTCTTTTCTTACTTTTTTATAAATCCATTTCTATCAACTAAATTCTGAAAGAGGGCTAGGTGCCCATCAAATATGTGTGATTCTTTCCTTTACTTGGTCGTAGCTTGACTTAAACAAACACCAGCAGAGTTGACTGGACAGAAGCTAAGGATGGCTGGAAGGCAGGTAGGTAGGTTGCAGATTCATCCAGATATTTTTGACAAAGTGAGAATAAGTAAAGATTATAGTAGAGCTGTCATCACTGTTCTCTGTGGTTCTAGGTCTGCAGCTGAATCAAGTAATGACAAAAATTGCTTATACTTGCTATGGAATTTGATTTTACTTTGGATATCTTTCTGCCATAGATACTTCTCCCTCCAAGCCACACATCCTCTTGGATTTGATGATGTTGTGAGATTAGAAATTGAATCCAATATTTGCAGGGAAGGTGGACCACTCCCTAACTGTTTCACAACTCCACTACGACAGGCCTGGACAACCATGGAGAAGGTAACCAGGATCTCCAAAAGTATTACAAGAAGTTTTTTTTTTTTACTAGTGGATCCCAGAAAATATTCCATGGGAAAAAGCAAACATAACACAATAGTGGAAAATGGCAGCAGTATAACATAGTGACTAGGAGCAGAGGCCTTGAGTCTGGAATGAGTTTTAGTATATAAACTTTTATAGTCAGAGTGACCTCAGTTACTGAAATTCTGTACTGCCATTGTCTTCATCTGCCAAGAATTGCACAGAATCTAGGACAGCCTGTGAGGTTATATTGCTAATACATGGCATGTGTATACAGTTGGGAAAAGGTTAATTAAGCACTGTTACATAATACATTACACAAAATCTGAATTTCTGATATTATACATAAAGATCAAATCTTTGAAAAGCTGGAGGTAACAGAATATCACCAGTTATCTAAGGATAATTCTTTTTCATAGTTGGAATTAAAAATTTTATGAATTTAAAAGTCCAGATCTATAGCATATAAATGATATTAACTTTCTGGGTTATAAAATTAAAATATAGCCTGGCATGGTGGTGCATGCCTATAAAGGCAGCTAAGGCAGGAGGATCGCAAGTGCAAAACCAGCCTAAGCAACTTAGCAAGAACCTGTCTCAAAATTAAAAAAAATTGAATACAGAGAAAAACAAAATGCTAAGACAGTCCTTACTAAATGTTTATAGGTAAAGAACTTGCACTAATTTTAAAAACACCAGCAGGACCCTGGTAGATAACTGGGAAGAGGACAATGAAGACATGAATGATTCATTTAACAAGTACTTTGAATATTTCTATGTTAGTTGTTGGTGTTATGGTGGTGAATAAAATAAAGGTGGTTTCTGCTCCCTCCCCCAGCTTAGTCTATAAAGAAGGTACATATTAAATACAGACATAAATATTTACAAGGGTGCTAAGTGCTATGAACGAAAGCTTTTGTAGTAAATGCAGATAATAAACATGGAAGCTTATTCATCATCATTAGTAATTATTAAGTGGAAATAAAAACATTTGTGCATCACTTTTCAAATTTAACAATTTGAAAAGAACAAAGCACAAAACCCAGTTTTAGAAAGCTCATGTGGAAATAGATACTTGATATATTCCTAATGATACAAATTAATAACACATTTTTGTGGGGTTTTTTTTTTGTAAATTTTTTTTAGTCATAGTTGGACACAATACCTTTATTTTATTCACTTATATGGTGCTGAGGATCGAACCCAGCACCTTGCACATGCTAGGCGAGTGCTATGCCACTGAGCCTCAACCCCAGCCCTGATAACATACTTTTGAAGGATAAATTGCCCATATATGCCAAAGTTAAAATTAGCTAAGCAAGCAGTAATATCCTGACAATTTATCTTAAAGAAATTAGTTCAGGGGCTGGGGTTGTGGCTCAGTTGTAGAATGCTTGCCTAGCATGTGTGGGGCACTAGGTTCTATCTTCAGCACCACATAAAAATAAATGAAGATTTAAAAAAGCAGTTCAGAACCAAAAGTCAATATAACACAAAACTTTAACATTTATCACAAACCAGAAAGATCTAGTTTCAGATTATTCTACCCTGTAGACGATTTTCTGCTAAGAATTAATATCAAGACATGCAGTTTCTATGAGAAGTGTTTTTTGGGGTGGGGGCAACAAAATTGTATGTGTCAATAATTTTAATTGCCAAGTAAACTGTACAGAGCAGTAATATTCAGGGTAACAAGAAGTAGTATGAACATTTGTTTTATCTGGTAGAATTACAGGTAAAATATGTTTATTAAAATATAGTTTTAGATGCATTTGATTTTTCAACTTTAAAATTATGTTTTTCCTCTCTTTCAGGTCTTTTTGCCAGGCTTTTTGTCCAGCAATCTTTATTATAAGTATTTGAATGATCTCATTCATTCAGTTCGAGGAGATGAGTTTCTGGGAGGCAATGTTTCACTGACTGCTCATGGTTCTGTTGGCCTTCCGGATGAGTCTCTTCCAGGTGGCACAGACAGTGCCACTTCACAGGTAGTCACTGATTTGCATCTACCAGTAGGAAGATGTATACCAATCCTTTCCTTTAAATAGCAGTACTAGATCCTATTTGTAAGTTTTAAGTTATCGATATAAAAGAGAAAGTTAGCCTACTTACTATTTATAATCAAAGTATTTGTAGTGAATAACCATACACATTGTGAAATATCTTACTGTTTTATTCAGGCCATTACTCTGCTAGACATTGTGGCTGTTCCTTTTACTAAATTCATTTTTAGCCTCTGAGGAGCTCTTTGTGTAATTGAGAAATTTTAATAATTAAATTTGGATGCTTTTTTTTAATAGAAAAGTGAACTCTTTAAGTTTCATAATATTGACCTTTTGGGTTCATTTTGAACTAGAATGCTATATTGTATATATTTATTTGACTTTTGGGTTTTGGGGGGAGCATTAATCCTAAATCAAACCTTACCTGATTGTCCCCACAATCTCATGAAATGGGATATTCTGAAGACAGAATATCTAAAGGAGGCATTAAGAAGTTAACCAGTTTTTAGGCTGTGAAGTTAGTCAGTGGTAGAGTGCTTAGCTAGCATGTGTGAGACCTTAGGTTCAATCCCCAGCACTGCCAAAAATGAATGAATAAATAAATATATAAATGAATGAATGAATGAATAAAGTTATTTTGTTAAAGTTACATAGTGGTAGAGCCAGAAATATTACCCTCCAGGCATTCTTAACCATAAGCTTTATAATATAACTTATTAATCTTATCACTATTGACAAATGAATAAGTAACACTGCAAACTTTTGAATGCTGGATCTTGGATAAGTTTTAAGACAGTACTACTTTACTGCTGTCAACAAGGTTCTCTTGAATACTTTTTCTCCTTATTAAGTTTACATAGGGGGCAACCTGCTAAGTGTGGTTGCCATTTTGTTTTTTTATATAAACTAGAAGGGCTTGTTTTTATTTATTATTATTTATCTTGGGTAATAGGATTGAACCCAGGACTTCATGCTTTTTAAGCATACTCTACCACTGAGCTACATCCCCAGCAACATAAAGTTTGTTCGTATTTTTGCTTGAAGTATACTACATACAGAAACCTGCACTTATCAAAACTATATATAGAATTTTCACAAACAGAGCTAACCCATGTAACTGACATCCAGATTAAGAAACAGAACATTAATAGCCAGAAGCCCTCTGGAGCCCCTTCTAGTCTCTATCCTCTTCCCTGCCAGGATAGCTACTGTCCTGTCTTGACAGCATATACCTATTCACTTTGTAAATGAAGTCATATAATGTATTTCTTTTTTTTTTTTTTTTTGGTATGGCTATATTATAATAATTCACATTTATATTATATAATTCAATGGTTTTTAGTATATTCAAAATTTTATCTTTTTATTCAGAACTATCTCTACAGTGAATCTTAAAGTATTTTTATACCCCAAAAGGAAATCCCATTTACTATACTACAAATCCCTGCTCTTCAGCCATAGGGAACTGCTAATCTATTTTTTGTCTCTATAGAGCCAAAGATTTGCTTATTTTGGATATTTCATAGAAGTGGAACCATTTAAGATGTGGCCTCTTGTGACTGACTTTTCATTTAGCATCACATTTTCAAGGTTCATCCATGTTTAGTGTGTATCAATCAGTTGGTAGACATTGAGTTCCCCTCTTTCTGCTATTATGAATTATGGTACTGTGAACATTTGTGTACAACTTTTTATATGGACTTGTGTTTTTATTTCTGTTGTTGTATTCACCTAGGTGTATTTTTTGAGCAATTGCCAGACTGTTTTCCAAGGTGACTACCATTTTGTGTCCCACCCACATTATATATGAGATTTCCAATTTATACATTCTTATCAGAACTTATCATCTGTCTTTTTGTTTATAGCCACCTTGGGTATAAAGTTTTATTTCATTGTGGTTTTTATTTTCATTTCCCTGATGACTTATAATCTTGCGCATCTTTTCATGTGTTTATTGGCCTTTTAAAATTTATCTTTGAAGAAAGTTTATTCGAATTCTTTACCCATTTTTACATTGGGTTGTCTGTCTTTTTATTATGACTTGGAGTAGTTCTTTTTATATTCTAGATATGTCCTTTATCAGACTTACTAGATAGTGATTTGCAGATATTTTCTCTGGTTTTGTAGGCTGTTTTTTTTTGTTGTTGTTGTTGTTGTTTGTTTTGTTTTTTTACTTTTCTTTATAGTGTTTTATTTTTTGTTGTTGTTTTGTTATTATTGTTGGGTTTTGGCAGTACTAGGAATTGAACTCAGGAATTGAGCATGCTTGGCATGTTCTCTACCACTGAGCTACTTGCCTATCCCTCTTGATAGTGTCTTTTGAAATTCAGAATCTTAAGTTTTGATGAAGTCTAGTTTGTCTGTTTGCTTTGGTTGTACAGACTTTTGGTATTATGTCTAAGAACCATTGCCAAATATGCAGTAACCATGATTTACAGTTTGCTGTGTTTTCTTCCAAGGGTTTTCTATCTGATCCATTTTAAGTTAGCTTTGCATGTGGTATGAGGTAGAGGTCCAACTTCATTCTTTTTCATATTGATATCCAGTTGTCCCAACATCATTTGTTGAAAAAACTATTCTTACATCATTGAATCATAGAAAAATCAATTGGCCGTGTAAATATGTTTTTATTTCTGAACTTTCAGTTCTTTTCCATTCAACTGTGTGTTTATCCTTGTGCCAGTACCACCTTGTTTTGAGTACTAAGTTTTGAAATCAGAAAGCATTTGTACTGTAGCTTTTTTTCCCCCTTTTTTAATTTTTATTTTTTCTTTTCATTTTCAACATTGTTTTGGTTTTTCTGGATCCTTTGCATTCCATATGAACTTTGCCATCAGCTTTTTCATTTTGGTGAAGATTGCATGGAATCTGCCTTGGGGAGTATTCTCATCGTAAATATTCTAATCAACACAGGATATGTTTCTATTTATTTATGTCTTCTTTAATGTATTCCAGTAACATTTTATAGTTTGTTCCCAAGTTTTTCTTTTTTCTTTTGTAGTAGGGCTTAAACTCAGGGTTGCTTTTACCACTGAGCTATATCCCCAGCTCCCCGCAACTTTTTTAAAAATTTTGAGACAAGTTCTCAGTAAGTTGTTGAAGCTGGCCTAGAACTTGCAGTCCTCTAACGACAGTTTCCCAGATCCTTGGGATTACAGTTGTGTGCTACTGTACCTAGCCCATTTTTCTTTCTGATGCAATTATAAATAGAATTGTTTTCTTAATTTCATTTTGGATTGTTCTGATATGCTCATTTTTGTGTGTTAATTATGTGCTTTGAACTTTGCTAAATTTGCTTATTAGCTTTAATAGCTTTCTTGTGAATTCTTTAGGATTTTCTGTATAAAATGTTTCCTGTGAATAAGGATAATTTTCTTCCTCTCCACTTTGGATGCTTTGTATTTTCTTTTTTCATCTAATCATTCTGGTTAGAACTTTTAGAACAATGTGAAGTAGGCGTGACAAAAGCAAGCATCTTTGTCTTATTTTTGATCTCATAGGGAAAGCTTTTGAGTTTTTCATCATTTAATATGAAGTTAGATGTGACTTTTTAAATTTATCAATGTTGTTTATCAGATTGAATAAGTTCCCTACTAATCTTAATTTTTTTAATTACAAAAGGGTACTAGATTTTGTCAAATGTCCTTTCTGTGCCAATGAAATAGTAACATAGGTTTCTGGGGTTTTTCTTTCTATTGATAAGTATTAAATTGATTTTCAGGTATTAAACCAACCTTGCTTTCCTAGGATAAATCCCACAAGGTTATGGTGTTTAGTAATCCTTTCAACATGCTGCCAGATGTAGTTTTGTTGAGGATTTTATATCAGTATTCATAAAATAATACACTCCATAATATGAGAGATTTGTCTTGGTTTTCTTGTGATATATGGATTTGATATCTGAGTAGTAATTGTCTCATAGAATTAATTGAAATGTGTTCCTTTCTTATGATGAATGTTTCTTTTCAATCTAACTATGTATCTTAGAGAGTATTCTTTTTCTCTATTTGAGTCCCCCTCTTCTCCATCAATGAAGCATTGTTTAAGTGTTAAATTATTTTGTTCATTTACTATATGCCTAAGTTATGACTATTAGGCTTGATTCCTCCCTTTTGTTATTTTAAACAGTGCTGCAGCAAATAATCTTGCATATATGTCATTTTGCGTAAGTGTGAGTCTGTCTATAGTTGAGTTTCTAGAAGTAAAATTTCTGGATCAACCCATAGCTCTGTATTTCATGAAAATACCAAATTTAACTTGCTTTTTTTGTAGGAGTGGGGTGTAGGAGGTAGAATGCTGGAGAGGAACATACTGTACTCAGCTAGCTTGTCATTCTAGAAAGGGTTCTTTAGCTTCTATTTTGTCAAACAACCTCACTGAGAATCCAAAACATTCATGATCACCCTGTAAAAAGTTGGGCTTTGTTAGCTAAGATACATGTGTGGATGGATGAGAGCTTTGTACACTGGGAAAATAATGCCTGTAAGGATAGCACATTTGTCGAAACTTAGGTCATTATGAAAACAGATTTGGCATGTTAAATACATGTTTTACATTTTAATCTTTTGCTCTCCTTCAGCATTTCAGAATTGTTGCTATTGAGTTTCTCAGTAGTAAAAGGATTGAGTGAAAATCATACATTGAAGAAAATTTTGTACAGATCTGTATAGTCCAGACAAAGGACTGATTGTTTCCTGAATAATGTATTACTTATTTTATAATTTCTATTGTAGTCCAATGTGAAAAAAGCCAGTATTAAAATTCTGAAAAATTTTGATGAAGCGATAATTGTGGATGCTGCGAGTCTGGATCCAGAATCTTTATATCAACGGACATATGCAGGGTAAGCTTAGCTGATGTCTAGAATTTTAACAAATGTAAAAAATTTAGCCAGGTGTGGTAGTGTACACCTATAATCCCAGCTACTCAGGAGGCTGAGGCAGTAGTATCACAATTTAGAAGCCAGTCTGGGCAACTCAGTGAGACCCTGTCTCAAAATAAAATTTTAAAAGAAGGACTAGGAATGTAGCTCAGTGGTAGAATATTTGCCTGTCATTCAAGAGTCAGTCCAGGGCCTCGTGCATGATACAACAAATAGAAGAATTTACATCTTTTAAAATTTTTAATTAAATTTATAGTGTGAGATTTATAATATATAGTGTGAGAGTAACATTGTGGCTAAAGTGAAGGCTCTGGAGTGACTTCTTGGGTTTTCATCTTGGCTTTGCTACTTATTAGCAAGCTGCTTAACCTGTTTATGTCTCAGTTTTTCATCTGTAAAATGAGAATAATATTAATACTTCCTTGAGTTGAAGGGATTAAAGAAGATAATACATGAAAAGCATTTAAAATGTTAACCTGATATCTAGTAGGCACATCATAAACATTACCATCCTTATTCCACCAGCATATGCCAGATTAATGAGTGTCTTGGTAATATAGTCTGTCTCTTACACATTTTGTTTGATTCACATGATAGCTATGTCAAAGTTTTGGTCTTAAAAACAAAAAGCAAAAAAGATGCCAACATCATTTATTGTGGAGTACATAACTAGCATTTGGAAAATGGAATGTAATCATTCCTTTGTACTTAAGAACTAGGTTGTGTTCATTTTACCTGGGAAGAGAAAGACAATGATACATAAGATATGCCACTTACTGAGAGTTACTACAGACAAATCATAAAATCACTGCCTCTTCTCTGAAGATAGCTTAATACATAAACCTGTGTAGTCTTGATTACCCTACCTCAGCCCCTAACCTAGTCCCAACAGTACCATGAAGGAGGGTTTTCAACATGTTTAATTGCTGTTTATCAGAAAGTAACAGTGATTTGGGGGAAACTGAGGAGTCTTTGTTGAAGGAAGGGACTGGAGTTGTAGCTCAGTGGTAGAGCGCTTGCCTAGCATCTGTGACACACTGGGTTTGATTCTGAGCACACATATAAATACATAAAGAAAATAAAGTTCCATCAACAACAAAAAAAATTTAAAAAATATTGAAGAAATTAAAATTTATTTAATTTCATTGTCTTTGGAAAGTACACTTCAGCTGTGTCATACTTATAGTTTATAATCTGTAATTGTTTTAGTGATCTTTTAGAAAATAGTGGATGATAAGCCTGAATGAGTTAATTCCCAAAGGTGAGATTTATTCTTAAGGAATGGTTTATTTACATAAGAAAGTTTTATCAATCGTGAAATGTTTACCTCTACATTTTTGTGTGTATAAATGTATATTTTAAATAATCTATAAAATGGATCCAAAAAGAGAAATGATAATTTTTCTTCATCATTTTTAAAGTTGGTTTTCATTGTTTGTTTTAGTTTTATGATTTTAGCATCTTCCTAAAGTTAAGACAAATTTTTATCAGTTGGTATAGGCATACGTGTGTGCCATGAATGAAATGAGGATTTATTAAGAAGAATACTTCTAAGGGCTGGGGATGTAGCTCAGTGGCAGAGCGCTTGCCTCACACATGTGAGGTACTGGGTTCAATTCTCAGCACCACATATAAATAAATTAAAAAAAAAAAATAAAGGTCCATTGACAACTAAAAAAATATTTTTTAAAAGATTATCTGTAAAATAAAGTCCCCTTTATCTGGAATAAAATTATACAGGTATCACAAAAATTTTCTTCTTTTAACCAACTTTTAATTACAAATAGATTATTCTTATAAAAAATTAAATTTACCTATAAGTTTAATGTCTTCTAATTTAACGTACACCAATGCTTATTTTCTCTCCTTCTTACTTAGAGTAGTCACTGTTACGTTATAGTTTCCTTCCTTCTTTCCTTCCTTCTCTTTCCTTTTTAAAAAATAGTACTGGGGATTGAACCCAGAAATGTTCTTCCAATAAAGTTTTGAGACAGGATCTTGCTAAATTGCCTATGTTGGACTAGAATTTGTAATCCTTATGTCTCAGCCTCCCATGTCACTGGGATTACAGACATGCTGCACTCTGCCTTGCCTATTTGCTTATTTTTATGTAATTGATACTGTGCTCTATTCTGTGTCTTGTGCTATCATTTACAATTTTGGAGTTTTGTTTATTTGCTTGCTTACTTGTTTTGTTTTGGGGGTTTGGGGTGCTGAGGATTGAACCCAGGGCATCATGCATGCTAAGCATACACTCTACAGTGAATTAGAACCCCAATCTCTTCTTTATAATGTATTCTGATCATTGTTAGAGCAAGTCCTACTTCTTTGTTCCTTCTTTTAGAAAATTGTTTATTCTTGTGCCTTTTCTCTTCTGCATGAATTTTAGAACTGTGAATTCCCTATTTGTCATGTTTCATAACCTGTTTGAGATTTTGAATGAAATTTAATTGAATTTGCTTTCTGTGGAGGAAGGTTCTATTTTCAGTAAGCTTTTTAGATTTATATGAAATGCTTAAAAAGGGATTAAATTCTAGCTCTTAGAAGTTACATATAATTTTTCTTATGTAGGAAGATGACATTTGGAAGAGTCAGTGACTTGGGTCAGTTTATCCGAGAATCTGAGCCTGAACCCGATGTAAAGAAATCAAAAGGTTTGTGGTATTTTTATACTTCATATTAAACCTTTGCTCATGTTACTCACTGGCTATAATTGCAGGGCCGCTTAAGTTTAAACTGGTCATAACCACGATATCTTTCACCCCATGTTTACATTCACAAGTTAGTACAAGGGCTGAATGAAGTTACTGAACCGGCTTTACCAAAATGGAAGGCAGAGTAGTGAGAAAAGATTGCTTACCTTTTTATTTAGTGGCAAAATACCCAATCCACATTAGACTCGAGATTTATCTTTATTTTATTAAATTTTCACAAAACCATTGAAAATTATTATGAGATATATATGGAGAATATTAGTAGGTTGAAATTCAAATCCTTACTTCGTTTAATCAGCAGAAGAGTGGCTTGGTCAATTCTAGAGTTAGACTCATATCTTTTTTTAAGTGCCTTTGTGATTGATTTTAGCTTCCAAACAGTTGATTTATACAGGAAGATTATAGAAACAAATGTGAATCTATTTGGATATGTGATTGGCTGACAATAGTGTCTTGAGTAAAGGATGCTAACTTTATTAAGTAGAAAGTACTCCATTTTAATAAGTGTATTTAAAATTAAGAACTATTGTTAATCTTTCTATTGAATTTAATAATACTAAATTCCTATTATGTTTATCCTATTTTTTTAACCCAACTACAGCTGGGTGATGAATTATATGCTTTATTTTGATGAATGCTCTAGGTTAGATCTACATAGTTGAAAAAAATACAACCGATTTTTTGAAGCAATTTAGAACAGAAAGGGACCTATTACTTACTTGACCTTATTTATCCATATAATTGATTCTATTTATTTTCTGTTTTGTCAGAGAAGTCTCAGGTCCTCAGTTAAGAAGAATATAAAGACTAAGGGAAAATATAAACACTTTATTCATCAAATTGCTTGTTTTTTCCCTTGCCTGTGCTAGGGATTAAATGCAGGACCTCAGGCATGCTAGGAAGGTACTCTCTCTGAGCTAGTAAATCACTGAGCTAGTATCTGCAGCCCACTAAATGATTTTTTTAGTGCCTCTGTATACTAATATTCACTGAGCATGTTAGAAGGTGCAGATCCTGTCCTCAAGAAACTTACAGTCTAGTAGTTATGTGGCTTGTCTTGGGTAAAAGATGAATATTGGGAAGAGATAGCCTTGAAATAGAGGAAGTGCTGGATGACCTCTGTGAGACATTGGCCAGGAAGAACTCTACAGTGTCATTAGGTAGCATTTGTCAATGAGGATAATGGGGTCTCCAGTATTAACAGAAAAATCTCTATTTAGTTTTTTTGTTTTAATCTGTTCTTATACCTCTGACAGCTCATGAAGCAATGTTACTACTCCATATATAGATGTTGGAAATATTATAGCATAGGAATTGGGAGTTTGCAGTTAGCTTGTTTTATATGAAGTAAGATATATTATGAAAAAAGATACACAAGAAATTTTTTCCTAAATCGTGATCTCTGCTCAATCTCTTTATGCTATTCATTTATTCTAAAAAATTGATGAGTGCCTATTATATATGTCTACTGTTCTAGGTCCTGAGAAGAAACAGAATTTTTTTTCTTATAACTTAAATGATAGTGAAGGAGACATTAAACAGATAATACTGTTTATGTACATGTTTGTAAATATGAGCGTGTGTGTGTGTGTGTGTGTGTGTGTGTGTGTGTAAGCATAAAAAGTAGGGTAATGGGCTGGCAGAGTAGTGGGTAGTGGTATTTGAATGGTCTTCAGCAAAGGCCTCATTGAGGCGACAGCATTTTAAGTAAAGATCTTAACCCAATAGGGGAGAAGCTCAGGCAATATCTGGAAGAAGAGTGTTCTTGGTTAAAGAAACAAGGGACAAGACCATTGTGGCTGGAGTGCAGTGAGCAAAGGGATGAGTGGTAGAAGGTGAGTGAGAGACCATGGCAAGGACTGGAAAGTATTGGGGAAACATGGGAGGTTGGATCAGGGAAGCAATGTAATGTGACTTATGTGTTAAAGGGATTGCTCTGGCAGCTGTTTGAAAATAAAGTGTCGAGCTTTAAGAGAGGCAGAGAAACAAAACATTCTTGTCAGAATCTAAGTAAGGGAGGATAGTTGTAGATTAAGCTTAAGTGGAGATTAGGCTGCAAGTGGGCTATATTTGAAGGTAGAGTCAGTAAGTTCGTATCTCTATCAGCAAGCCCATCCACCAGTTTACTGGCATTATTACTTTAATCAAGATGTGCTTATATAAAGTTACAAATAGGAGTTTGTTAAATATATCCACATATCTTGGTTCTTCCTTTGGTTTTCCAGATGTCTCTTTTTAAGTATTTTTTGGTAATATAGGAGCACAGAGATTGCATTCATTCACTAAGAAGGCATTTAAATGATTCCTATGTGCCAGGCACTGTGCTAGATGTCAAAGATGATATAAATAGGAGGATATAACCTCGGTCTGTTTTTACTATAGCTTGGTTTCTTCCTTATGACCAGACTTGTGAAACAATCAGGCTAAGAACCCTACAGAATGTTCAACCTTCTGGATTTTCCTGATTATATTATTTATGTTATTGCTTCATTCCCAGCATTTTTTTTCTTTTTTTTTAAATATATTTACTTTTTAAAATTTTTATTTAAATTGTAGATGGATCTTTATTTTATTTATTTATATGTAATGCTGACAGTCAAACCCAGTACCTCTTCATAGCATTTCTTGAAAACTAGAAGTTATACCTGAAATTTAAAAAATTTTTTGATATAGATGGACACATTACCTTTATTTTATTTATTTATTTTTATGTGGTGCTGAGGATCAAACCCAGTGCCTCACGCATGCTAGGCAAGCACTCTACCACTGAGCTACAACCCCAGCCTCTACACTGGAAATTTTGATGGTTCAAGTAACATGTCATAAATTATAAGTGCTATGATATGTGATTTATATTTCTACACACACACACACATTTTTGCAGTGCTAGGGAACTCAGAACCTCTCATAGGCTAGATGAGAGTTCCCTCTACCACTGAGCTACACCTATACACCCCCTGCCATACATATATAACATTTTTTAAAAGACTATATTGGTGTATACATTTAAAAATCACCTGAAAATATATGCACAAAATTCAGCAGCAGTTACTTTAAGTATTAGAAGAGGGAAGGTACCTTTTACTTTTTATTATAACCTTTCCCCCCACGTTTTGAATTTCCTTACATTGTTCCTATGTCACTTCACCCCTTTCCCCATGGCTTCTTGTGGCAGTTGAAATAAAATCTCTCCTCTTATTGTGTCTTATGAATGTCCCCTTCTGTTTCTATTACCTTACTATGCACTACTCTTTCTTTCACAGACTAAGCTCTAATTCAACTATCCTTTATTCTTTTTCTGAGGTTTCTTTACATTTAGGGCCTCTGCAGCTGCTATTTTCCTCTGCCATGACTTTCATGCCACAACTGGCTCCTCCTTTTCTCAGCATAGTCTCTTCAGAGAGCCCTTTCCAACCCTCAAGATCTAAAATCATCTGTACTACTAACATACCACTTCTTTCTTATTCATTGACTGAAATTATTTTATTTGCATACATTCTTATAATCTTATTTTTCTCATAACTGGAATATTGCCTCTGTGAGAGAAGAGATTTTATCTGTCTTATTTGGCACTATATTCTCCAATTTTAAAATTATGCCAGGTACGTAGTAGATAGTTACTTATTAAATATTTTTTGATTGTATTAATTGATCTTTAAGAATTCCATTAGAGGGGCTGGGGATGTGGCTCAAGAGGTAGCGCGCTCGCCTGGCATGCGTGCGGCCCGGGTTCAATCCTCAGCACCACATACAAACAAAGATGTTGTGTCCGCCGAAAACTAAAAAAAAAATAAATATTAAAAATTCTCTCTCTCTCTCTCTCTCTCTCAAAAAAGAAAAAAAAAAAAGAATTCCATTAGAGGGGATGGGAGTGTAGCTTGGTGATAGAGATCTTGCCTAACATTCACAAGACATGAGTTCAATCCACTGTACCACCAAAAAAAAAAAAAAAAAAAAATCATTAGAGATTATGGGTGACAAAATTCTGGACTACATAATTCCATTTAAGAAAAAATATCCAGGAGCTGGGGTTGTGGCTCAGCAGTAGAGCACATGCCTTGCATGTGTGAGGCACTGGGTTCGATCCTCAGCACTACATAAAAACAAATAAACAAAATAAAGGTATATTAAAAAAGAGATAATACATTTTTAAAAAATCCAATTCCTAACACCCCAGAGTAAAGAAAAAAAAATATTTCTTAAATTTGGCTGCCTTTTGCACACTGAGACCCTAAATTTTCTTACCCAGATTACTTTCTTCTTACGATACTCACAGAGGCTCCCCTCTCTTCTCACACCCAAATAATGAATATTTCTTAGCATTTTCAAGCTCATGCAATTTAGATAATACATTGATATATACCACCTCCCCATTCTATAGATGAAGTAATCAAGAAATGGGGACATGTAATTTGTTCAGAATACTGTCTTGATAGTAGTTGTTTACAGTTCATTTTCCCCTTCGTTTACTTTCTTCTCCTTCCTTGCTAAGTATAGCTGGACAGAATGTTTGTCATTTACCAGCCTGTAGTTTTAATTTGGGTTTTGCATCTCTGATAATACAGCACTGAGGAAGAAAAAGTAGAATTTTGAGAAGAGTGTATCTCAGAGGCTTTTTAACAAGGTAATTTAAAAAGTTACATTAAAAATCATCTCAGAGAAAGTGTAACAAGAAGGAATTATAGAAAGATGTTGTGAGCTAAAATAAGAATGAATTGTAGTTGGGGAGTGATTGGTGTCAGAAAACACAATGCAGCAGGATTAGGAGTAATTAGAAGAGGATTTGAAGTTAGTGGTAGCGTGAATTGGAAAGAAGGTCAGATTCATGAGGCTTCCAAGGATAAGTTCAAGAGACTGCATTTCAAGGTGGAATTTGGTAGCATTTTTACTGTGCCAGCAATGGAACCCAGTGAGTTCCCCATGTAAGCTAGGCAAGTGCTCTGCTGCTGAGCCACATCGCCAGCCCTATGTTGAATAGTTTAACATAGGTTCTGTGAAAGAAAAATTTAAGAGAACACACCAAAAAAAGAGTAGATAAGAGGAAGATGAGTTTATAACATGTTAAATTTGAGATTCTTTTATATAATTTGGAAATAAGGATTTGATGCTCAAGGAGGAAATTCTGAATTATTTGCATATTAAAGGAAGTTAAAGCCATAGAAGGGAATGAGATGTCCAGAAGATTACAAGTTGGAAAAAAAGGGGCGGGGGGGCTGACAATGGGGATCCTGGATAAACTCCATGTTAAAGGGGGAACACAGAATAGTCATGGAAGATATAGGTATTAGAGGTAAAGAACAGAGTGTCAATAGGAAAGAGACTGTCAGTAGTGTGACTCTGCAGATAAGCCTGATGAGAAAGCAGTGCATTGATTAATTGAACAGCTGGGTGAAATTTTAGGCAAAGCATTTAACACTGTGGCTCTGTTTGTCCTCATTGACAGTAAAATTTGACCAGACCAGTATTTGACTGTATTTGAAGTTGAGTTATACTGTGGATTGGATAGAGATGACTATTTAAAATTTTGTTCTCATCCAGTTCATTTAGGTAGTCCAACTTATAACAACATGATCTGTACTAGAAGACGGTATAGGAACTGGTCTAAAGGTTTAAAAATATAATAAATGTATTATTATCTGCAGGGTTTCTGATCTCACGACTAAAAGGCTCAGGGGTCACTCCAGTTAAACTGGGCTAATTGGGCTGCATGAAATAACCACACAAGAGACACAATACCTTTTTCTTTGGGGTCACTGTGACGGCTCCTCTCACCTTAAGGGTCCACAGAAAGAGAGAGAGCACACGCTGACCCCTTTTATTGAGGAGAAGTTATTTAAATAAGGCAAGGGGTCAGGTTTCAGGGGGCTGAGTCTAACTTCATGATGTCCACTGTTAGCAGGTTGACTGACACCTGGGTAGGCCACACCCAAGGGCACAGTAAGAGAAGGGGACACACACAAGGCACTTCCATGGAAGATTCTATCCTAAACAGGGCAAGGGATTATATTACAAAGGAACAGGTGAGCATAGCTTCACCCATGGGGCTGTAGCAAGACACACCCATGCACAAGACACTGACCCTCGGACTCAAGAAGGGTGGGGAAAGCTCTGCCACATTTCTGCAACTGAGCGCCTCAGCACCCAGCCGGGGATTGTAACTCAGTCATGTGTAAGGTTGGTCTCCCACAGTTATCTCCTGATGTATTGCTAGTTTCTTACCTAAGATCAGTGTCCTGGTTAGATGTTTTTGTTTGTTTGTTTGTTTTAATGTTTACTGTAAATTTGACACTAGATAATAATTTCTTTCATCAGGTAAGGAGAGTAGGAAAAAAAAATCTAGAATTCTGAAATAGCTTTTCAAAAGCACTTCTATGATATTTGTAAGGTGAATACTTTGTTATGGAACATACAAACATACTTGGTTTTTACCAATGGTAATATTCCTTAATGTTTTGGATGGGATCATACTAGAAAAGAATATCCATGTCTAAAAGTAACAGCTTTTAAATAAGAGCATTTTTAATGTAAAATTATGTATGAAATCTGTATTCAATTTTGTTTTGTTACTAGGATCCATGTTCTCACAAGCTATGAAGAAGTGGGTACAAGGAAATACTGATGAGGTAAATTCTACTTTTAGTATAAAAAGATCCCTTTTATAAATGCTACCCTTTTCTAAGAAAGGTTTTAAAGTTTTCTCTTTCTTTAGTTCCCATGTTTAAACAGCTTGACATATCTGTGCTCCCTTATCCAGAATATAACAAGAAAAGAAAGGCCCTTCTTAGCAATTAAGAATTGCATGGTGATGATAAGAATGATTCTAGACCACGGGACTTCAGTACAGAGACTATGGCCATTGAAGGATATCAATCCATTCAAATTTCCATCAATCAGTAGGCATGGATCATATTGCAGAAACAAAAGCTGTCCTTCCCCACTCTGATTTTACTTTCAAAAGTGGAGGCTTGCTTGAATAGCCATCTCTCATTGAGAGATGGGAGTAGAAAATGTAAAGTGTTAGATTTTGACCTTCTAATACAAAAGTAGTCATATTGGCTGACTCTAGAAAACAATGCCTGACTCTAGAAAAAATACATGGAAAATATTTGTTATTAAAATTATACCTCTATATGATTGATTTTAGACCTCTAATTATGTGCATCTTGATCCATCTAATGAGTAACCATTATCAACAGTTTAAATTACTTCCTTTAGGCCCAAGAAGAGCTAGCTTGGAAGATCGCTAAAATGATAGTCAGTGATGTTATGCAGCAGGCTCAGTATGATCAACCTATGGGGACATCTACAAAGGTAAGGATGATTTCTGTTCTGAGTTAGCTTGTGTAAAACTGAAAAGAATTATATTCCAAATGTATAAAAATTAAAAAGGACATAGGGTACATCTGTGTCTGCCTTTGAAGGGTTAACTGCTATAGGAATTGCCTTCTCATTATAAATAATTATAAAACTGATAAACTAAAAACAACTCATTTTCAAATATTGAACAGTAGGCAATATAGGACTATAATCCTTGAGAGGAGAATAATATTGAAGTGATACTTCCTTCACTGATTAGAAACAGTTTATAAAGTACAGAGAGGGAAAAACCAAACAGTGCCCGATAGGTTTACTGAATTAAGGAATTAGAAGTCAAAGTTGGAAGAGCTGTTTTGATTAGAAGTTATAGGACAAGGTACCAAAAAAGAGGGAGTGGCCTAGAAAGTGAGCTGCAGAGGAGAGTCCTCTCAAGTCCTTGGCCAAATACTAATCTCTGTATATGTGAAGTAAAAATGCATATATCTAGGGAAAGAATCCCTAGAAGTTAAGATGCTAAGTCATTTTGGCCATAATATTATATAAAACATTGCATAGTGTCCTCACAAAGGATATGTCTTATTACTAGAGCTAAATTAGCCCTAGTAATTTTAAACTTAACCAAGTTTAAAAGCAAATTTTGAAAGGATTGAAATGCTCTATGAATAATAACTCCATGCCAAGACAATCTTCCTTAAAGGAATACAACAAAATTGAGCACTCCACAGTATAAAGTTACCATGTTTATCATCCAATCAAAAATTACTAAGCATGAAAGGAAGCATAGACTGGACCCATAACTAGGGAAGATTCAATCATAAAAACAGGCTCAGAAATGCTGAAATTAGCAAAGGCCATAAAACAACTAGTTTAAAAAGACTCAAATGGAATTTCTTGAAATAAAAAAAATATTGTATCTGACCTGGCACAGTGATATACGCCTGTAATCCCAGTGGCTCTGGAGGCAGAGGCAGGAGGATCACAAATTCAAAGCCAGCCTCAGCAATTTAGCGAGGCACTAAGCAACTCAGCCAGACCCTGTTTCTAAATAAAATACAAATAGGTGTGGGGTAGAGTGACCCTGAGTTCAATCCCTGGTTACCCCCCCCCCCCCCCCCCCCAAAAAAAAAAAATTGTATCAAGTGAAAAATACTGCGTGAGATAAATACCTGCTTAGAAGCCATAAAAGGATTAGTGAAAAACAGTGGAAATTATCCAAAAATAAGTACAACAGAGAGAAGACTGGGAAGAAAAAAGTATAATCCCGATTACTCAGAGTGTGAGGCAAGAGGATCACAAGTTCAAGGTCAGCCTCAGCATGTTAGCAAAATCCTGCCTCAAAAATAAAAAATGAAAAGGACGGGGGATGTGTGTAGCTCAGTGATAGAGTGCCCCTGGGTTCAGTCACTAGTGAGGGCTGGGGAGGGAAGCTGAACAAATAATGATTAAAATTTTTCATATTTGATGAAAATAAAAATAATAGTCTTCTTGTCAAAATGTAAACAAGCCAGAAGATAGCTGAACCAACATCTTTAATATCCAAGAAGAAAAACAGCCTAAACAGTGAAGATATCTTTTTAAATGAAATAAAAATACTTTTATCAAATGAAACCTTAAAGAAATTCATTTTTTTGCAGACCTACAATTAAAATAAATCTTAAGAAAGTTCTTCAAGGAGGACAGAGTGGTACCAGCTAGAAATTTCATCTGTAAATAAATGAGTAACTAATTTGATCTTGTTCCCCCACCCCTTTCTTTTTTCTTTTACACATTTTACTGGGAATTGAATCTAAGGGTTGGCACATGCTAGACAAATGTTCTACCACTGAGGTACATCACCAGCCCTATTTTATTTTTTTATTTTGAGACAGGGTCTTGCAGGTTGATCAGGCTGGCCTTGAATTTGTGATCCTCCTTTTTACATTTTTAAAATATATTTTTATGTTTAAGAGGCTTTTTTGTTTAGTTGATTTTGGTTTGGTTTGAGTTTTTTGTTGTTTTTGGCTTGTTTGTTTGTTTTTAAAGTACTAGAGTTAGAATTCAGGGGTGTTTTACCCCTATAATCCCTGCCCTTTTTATTTATTTTGAGACAGGGTCTTGCTAAGTTTTCTATTCTGGCCTTGAAATTAGGGTCTTCCTGCCTCAGCATTCTGAGTCACACGGATTATATACCACCATTTCCTGAAAGAGATAATTATTTAAAACCAAACAATAACAGTGTGTTGTAGGGTCTATAACATACATAGAAGTAAAATGTACTATAATACAAAGAACAGGAAGGAAGAAGTGAAAATAAACTTTTAAGATTCTAACTTTAAAGATGAGGTCGTATGATGTACCATAAACCTTAAGAGCAAACATAAAAAATGAGTTGTATAGGTGATAAACCAATAGTGAGAGATAAACCAAGCCCCCCCAAAATACTGAATCTAAAAGATACAGGAAAAGAAGAAAAAGAAGAAGAAAGAACTGGTTGGACAAATAACAAGATGATAGATTTAAACCAATCATATTAATAATTACATTACAAATGTAAATGAGAGATTGTCAGATTGGATAATAAAACAACAGGTTTAAAGTAAAAAGTAGAAGTAAAAATAAATATTATGCAAACACTATCAAGTAAGCTGGCCGGATGCAGTGGCGCACGCCTGTAATCGCAGCAGCTTGGGAGGCTGAGGCAGGAGGATCAAAAGTTCAAAGCCAGCCTCAGCAATGGCAAGGTGCTAAGCAACTCAGTGAGACTCTAACTCTAAATAAAATACAAAAAAGGACTTGGGATTGGCTCAGTGGTCGAGTGCCCCTGAGTTTAATCCCTGGTACAAAAAAAAAAACAAAAAACAAAACTGAATAGCTATTTCTAGAAATTAGAGTAAACTTTAAGGAGTATTACCAGACATAGAATCATCCAGAAAATATGAGTACATCAATAACAGCTTCAGAATACATGAAGCAAAACTGAGAACTGCATGGAGAAATACCACAACCCCATAGTAACTGTTGGAGATGTCAACGGTTCTTTCTCAGTAATAGAATTTAATGTGCACATGGAAGATTCATCAAGATATTCTTAGCCATGAAACAAAGTCAGTAAATTTTATATATGCTATAAGGGCCAAGGTTTATTTTTTCTACATATTTGTTCTTATCCATTAAAAAAATCATATTGCTGGGCTGGGGTTGTGGCTCAGTGGTAGAGTGCTCCCCTAGCACATGCAAGGTCCTGGGTTTGATCCTCAGCACCACATATAAATTGTTTAAACAAAGATATTGTGTCCAACAACAATTAAGAAATAAATATTTTTAAAAAATCATATTGCCAATCTTAGGATTTCAAGGATTCTTTTTTTGGGCAGGGGAGGGCAACTGGAGATTTAATGCAGAGGTACTTAATCACTGAACCACGTCCCCAAACTTTTTTATTTTGAGACAGACTCTAAATTGCTAAGTCTGGCTTTGAACTTTTAATTCTCCTGCCTTAGCTCTCAAGACACTGGGATTACTGCACCCTCCAGTTTAAGGATTCTTTATGTATTCTGGATAAAATTCCTTCATCAGAAAGATGTTTGCAAATACCTTCTTCTAATCCAAAGCTTTGTTTTCTCATTTTCTTAACAGAATCTTTTTTTTTTTTTATCTTTATTTTTATTTGGTGCTGAGGATCGAACCCATAGCCTCACACATGCTAGGCGAGCACTCTACCTCTGAGCCACAACCCCAGCACTCCCACCCCTTTTTAACAGAATCTTTTGAAGAGCAGCTTTCACTGTTGGTGAAGTTCAGTTTATCTTTACTTTGCCCCTTATTTGATGGCTCATACTGGGTATGACCTAAGAGATCTTTGCTTAGGCAAAGATTTTGACTATGTCAAAATCCTGAAAATTTTCTTCCACAGGTTTTAGAGTTTGAGCTTTTATATTTAAGTCCATGATCTATTTTGAGTTAAATTTTATATATGCTATAAGGGCCAAGGTTTATTTTTTCTACATATTTGTATATATAAAACCAGTTGTTTCAGCACCATAGGCTGACAAAGATGGTCTTTCCCCCCAATTGAATATCTCTTGGCACATATTCTAAAAATCAATTGGCTACTTGTGGGTCTACTTCTGCACTCTATTTGCTCCATTGACCAATGTCCACCTTTATGCAAATACTATACTGCCTTGACTGTACATTCCCCCCTCATCCATTAAACCTGTTAATAGCTATTAGGTGCTATCAGATGTAGGAAGTTCTCTTATATTCCTAGTGTCCTAAGAGTTTTTGTTAGCAATGGCTGTTGAGTTTTACCAAATTCTTTTTATACATCTATAGATGATCATGTTAATAGGGTAAATTATACAAATTGATCTCCAGATGTTAAAGAACCTTGCATTTCTAGGATATCCCCTACTTGTCATGATGTATTACCCTTTCTATGTATCGCTGGATTAGCTTCCTTATATTTTTGTCAAGAATTTTGTGTGTATGTCCATGATGGAAACTAGTCTGTAGTTTTCTTACAATGTTTTTGTCTGATTTTTGGTGTCTAGGTAATTCTGGTTTTACACAAGGAGTCAGGAATGAGAACCCTCTCTTTATTTTCCTAGAACTTTGCCTAGAATTGGTATTCTTTAAATTATATTTGAGCCTAGAACTTTCTTTGTGGAAAGGTGTTTAACTACACAATCTAATAGATATAGTCATTACTCAGGTTTTCTATTGCTTCTTGCATGAGCTTTGGTAATTTGTGTCAAGGAATTTCTCCATTTCCCTAAATTACTAAACTTATTAGTATGGGGCTGGAGCTGGAGCTTAGTGGCAGAGTGCTTGCCTAGCATGTGCAAGGCACTGGGTTCGATCCTTAGCACCATATACAAATAAAATAAAGGCATTCTGCCATCTACAACTACAAAATTTTTAAAAACTTATTAGCATGAAGTTGTTGATAATATATCCCTACTGTCATTTTAAAAAATTAAATAAATAACTTTATTTATGATACTTCACATATTAAAAATGCCAACTATATAGCAACAAAAGTCCCATAAATTTTAACTGAGGCACAACTACCAATAAAATCAAGGCCCTTTGAAAAATCAAAGATAATGGAATATCAGGGAAGAGAAGTTTTGTTTTCCCAAAATAGACTGTAACAAATGAACTTACTTCCCTGACCCTTAAGGTTCACAATGAGAAAACTTTCTTTTAAGGGCATCCCCAGTCAATAAACTGATCAATTGACCTATATTTATAAAAATAAACCCTATAGTTAAGAAAAATATATTAAATGCCCTCCGTACCCAGAATATAATAAAACTTTTGACACCAGAATGATAAGCCTCTCAGCCAGTCATCAAGTTCACCTGAACAGCAGTGTATACACACCATAGTGTATACACTGAGAAAATATATGGATGTCAGATACTCACATGATAAGGCACCCAATATCATTTTTTTAGGGAAATACAAATTAAAGTTAGTGATATTCCACTACATACCCAAAAGAAAGCTAAGATTAAAAAGAGTGACATTAATTACCATGTATTAGCAAGAATGTACAACAATTTTATTATTGGTGGGAATAAAAAAAGACAGCAAACACTTTGAAAAACAGTTTGACAATTTCTTATAAAGTTAATTGTAAATTAACTAGCCCGATATATTTTCTTAGGAAATCTGGTGTCCAATTTTTTTTTTGAAGTTTTTTTCTTCTTAGACTGATCATATTCCTCAGAGAAAACTCAAGATAAAGTGTAGGCTGCCAGGTTTTTAGGAGCAAAATAGGGCAAAAGAGGGCTCAGTGTTATATTCACCCCTTCCTTGATCACCCTTTTCTCAGTACAGCATCCTTGCCCTCAGTGTGTCTAACCTACTTTGCTCAGAGATCTCAGGCTTTTCTGCTGGCATTAGGGTTAGTTGCCTGACTGGATAGTTTGTAGAGTAATCCATTTAGGTGTTTCTAATTCTAACTTGTTTAACAAGTTCTCATGCTTGTACCCACTCTCATTCCCCTTATTGGGTACAGGTGCCATCACTTTCCCAGGCAAGGTTGCTCCTCAGCTTCTCTAGTTTTAGGATTGAGATTTTCAATTCTGCAAAAGCTGGTTTCAAGAAGGAGCAAGCTTGGTTTGGTGGCACATACCTGTAATCCCAGTGATTGCAAGTTCAAGGCCAACCTCAGCAACTTAGTGAGACTCTGTCTTAAAAATCAAAGTGTCTGGGGTTGTGGCTCAGTGGTAGAGTACCCCTGCATTCAGTCCCCAGTAACACACACACACACACACACACACACACACACAGAGAGAGAATCCTTTTTATTTTATTTTTTTCAATTTTCTGTAATGCTAACAATTGAACCAGGGCCTTGAGCATGCTAGGTAAGCATTCTATCACTGAACTATACCCCTAACCACCCCCCCCCAAAAAAAATATGTTCAGTGACATCATATATCCCTTAGTAGGTTAGAGGACTTGAATTTGGTTTAGGTCCAGCATCACTCTTTCCCTGCTAAATGTCTAACTTTTTCCTCTGAGAACTGTCATTACCAAACTTGGTTTAATTGTGAACTTTTCACTGGGCTGATTCATACCAAAGCCCTATTCATTTTTGCATACTCTATCCTTTTTTCTGTATAAGGGTGATAATTTTTGTCTATATTTATCTTTTGGCTCAGGCAAACCTAAAATAGTAAAGAGCAAACTAAAGGTGTATGAAGACATACAAGGTAGTTATTTTTGTGATTCTCCATTATCAGGTTGATGATAAAATGTTTGAATAAGAAAATGTTCTTTAGAAACTATTTTGGAAAGCAGATATTTATAATTCAGGTTTTTCATTTGAGTTATGTATTTAGATTTTATTACCACATGCTTTTCATTTTTAGGATATATGGGTATATTTTGCTGTCTTTTATATTTTGAGCTTCCTAGGCCTTGTCTTTGGCTTGTCAGGGCATCTATCTGTCCTACCTGTCCCTCAGAGATCAGTGGTTTATTGCTATGAAACAACAACAACAAAAAAAGCAAAAACAAAAAACACTAAGCTATCAGGACTAGCTGAGTCTGTTTAATTAATTAATTAATTTCACAGTGCTGGGTGTCAGTGGCTTCACAAATGCTATCCAAATGTTCCACTACCAGACTGTCCCCAAGCTTTTGAATCCATTTTTAGGCAATATGTGTGACCTTTTGCAAGTGACTTTGCTTCTTCAGTACCTCATTTTCTCTCAATAGATTAGAGAGATTGCATAAGAAGACCTCAAAAGATCCCCTTCTAATTCTCATTCCATGACTTTATGAAAATAATGAGCAATCCCTAGACCCATGCAGGATCACTCAGTCTGTTTAGCCCATGTTGATTCCTCCCTCTGCTTTGAACCCCCAGCTCTGCATTTGCCTATAGAATAGGCTTAGACATTTTGTGTGAACTACCTCACATCATTACTGAATTGTTTGATGAGCATTTGCCATCAAACAATTGTTTCTGCAATGTTTGTTTCTTCCCCAGTACTCTAAATAAAAGAGACACTCAGTCTTGTGAGCTTTGTGGTATTACATATTATGGTTTTATTGTCATTTAATGAGTCCCTGTGGTCAGTTATTTTGGATATTTGATGTTTATACCTGTTACAAACAACATTTTTATGAATGTTTTGTAAGTCTTTACCTTCTCTTATGCTGTAGGGTTAATTTCCAGAAGTAGAATTACTCTGTCATAAAGTGAAACCATTTTTCATTCTGATATTGCCAAAACAAAAAGATTCAAGCAAGTACTTAACCTCTTTAAACTTCCATGCACTCATATGTAAATGAGGAGATTTATATTTTATTTATTTATATTTTTTTTGAGATGCTATTTTATTTTATTTATTTTATTTTTTTTTTAGTTTGTTACCTATTTAATCTTTTTTTTAAAATTTTTTATTATTGGTTATTCAAAACATTACATAGTTCTTGATATATCATATTTCACCCTTTGATTCAAGTGGGTTATGAGCTCCCATTTTTACCGAGATTTATATTTTACTTCTCAAGACTTTAGTCAGTTTCTGAACTGTCATAAGCTCTGATGTATAGTAAACACTGTGTAAATGATTGCCTTCTTCTTTAGTCTGTATTAATAATATGTTACTTGTTACAGAGATGTTACCTTACCTTATACTTTTTCTTTTTTTTTTCAGCTATGACTCAAGAACTGAGATAAAGGAAATCTGCTTTTGAAGTATAAGAGAACTTTTTTTCCTTTGGTTGGATTCTTCAACACAGCCAATGAAAACAGCACTGTATTTCTTTTCACTGATATAACACTGTTATTTCCAGGAATGAATGGGAGACAATCCTAGACTTCCACCATATTGCAGAGTAACATGTAGACATAAATGATGCACATGATGTTCATACAGTGAGTCACAAAGCTACAAAGTGGTATTGTTTACATTACTAGAAAATTATTAGTTTTCCAATGGCAATAACCCATGTATGAGAGAGTTAGCCCACTGAAATAGACAGGGACCACATCCTGTGAGAGGCAGATAAGCATAGAGCTGATATTTGGTGCACATTCTTAGAGCAGGAGTCCATCTCAAGCAGAATTATAAAACGTGGCAGAGGTGCTTTGCTTTGTCCTCCTAAAATTAACAGGTGAGTCATCCCCACTCAGAGTTAGGCAGCTCTCAGTGGCAATGTGTGGAACTGGGTGAGAGTTCCTTGTGTAGTCTTCACAGAAGCATTAATTTAGAAAGAAACAGACAAATCGCAGGTCATGTTTCAGTGACATTGTCCTTTCCTTTGGTGGCAGCATATCCTTAAAACCAGTCTCTCCCTGTTAACAAAAGGGTAAATTTAGTTTACTTTGAGCATTAGGTCTTGCTCCTTTGGAGCAAGCAGCAACATTTACTACGCTCCAGTTACTTAACTTCCCTTTCAGAATGCATGTGGGAGGAAAGACATAAGGATCACTCCAGTTTTTTCCCTGTGGTACCTCGAACAAAATGTTTATTCACAGATTATAATTTTGTTTTTTAAAGTGGGGAGAAAAGTACTCAACTTGCTTGATTGCCTCCCCCATTTTTTGCTGTGAGTGGGAAGTGTGCAGTGGTGGCCTTTTTTCTTTTTGTCTTCAGTACAGAAAGACTCACTCATTGCCCTTCTGCTCAGGCGGCTTTGCATTGGGACTGCACAGCCATCAGCAAGGTGGCCCAGTTGACATGCACACTCCGCCAGCCACACCATGCCAGTGCTTCCTCTCTGTGTGTAAATGAAGGGATAGAATGTTCTCTTAGGTGTTACTGCTTTTGCTCAGACTTTGCAAAAAAGAAAAAGAAAAAAAAAAAAAAAATATATATATATATATATATATATATATATATATATATATGCATAAATATATAATTATTAATCACCTCTCTCCTTGAGAAAGTCTTGATTGAATAGAGAATTTATTCATTGCAATATTGATTGTATAGAGGCACACTGTTTCATCAACAGAAGAAGCAAAAAGGCTGTGTATAAGTTTTTTGGTACTATGTACCACCTCTGTTCTTATAAAGCTGAAGTATTCATGTACTTAAACCATATTCTATTTAATTGTGTTTGATTTTAAATATATATATATATGAATTATATTTAAAATGGTGTCAGCTTTCTGCTTTCAGGGCATTTATGGCTCTTCTGTTGAAATTTATTGATCCCGCCTAATATTTCCATTTGCTTTACAAAAACCCAGAATACAAGCCACTACTGGATTTAGCCTTGTGTTTGGAGTGTAGGCATAGACTTGAAGTCTTTATTAGGTGTATATGCTGTGATTAATTTATTTTGTTCTTTTAGCAAAATATTTCCATCCATTTCACATTGCTTCAAACTTTAAATAGGAGAAAAGCAATATAAAGGTCTTAGAATTAAATGTGGTTTTGGGTGACTGTTGCTGCCTCTGCATGTTTTCGACTAACAATTTCTGTAAAACTCTAGGCTATTCAAACTTAGTGCTTTCAATTAAGATAATTTCTAGTCATTTCTTTGTATACATTTTGTGCTTCTGAGTTAGAGATGCCAGTAGTCATAAACTTCTTATAAAGACAAGATTAGCAAGTTTGAGATTTGGTTATCCTTTTCTGCCTCACCTGCTATGAAACACAGAAGCAGCTTTGGTCTGAAATTATTAGCCAGATTTCATATTTGATCTAAAGTAAGTCCTTGTGCTCCTTTTAAAATTGGAATGGAATTCATCTATTATTGAGCAATTGCTGTGTTCCAGGTTCTATGCATTGTGCCCATAAAATATAATTCCCTGGCAGGGTTTTTATAGGTGCAAGTAATCAGTTGTTCACTCTTTATCATGTCATTGACATCAACTCATTGTTTAAAAAGTAAAAATAATAGTGAGAAAGTGATACTTTTTGTAATTTGGTGTCTTTATCACACCTTTATAAATTTGATGAGAGTGAAAAGCATTGTCAGCCAAATCCAGTGAAGAGCAATAAAACAGGGAGCAATTTATTGTAACTTTTTCTACTTGGGGTCCAATATTCACTACAGCTTTATGAAATGTAAGTGGTTTACAATACTGGAACTTTGACTAGTTCAGTAGAAATTTGGAGGGGAAGGTCATTCTGAATTGTAGGAAATCTAAACTTCATTGCTGTTTTATTTAGCTAAGCCACTGATCTGTCTATTGACACTGTTTGGGATCCTTCCTGACTCAAAAGTTTAACACTCCTATGTTTGTACAGTGATCTTTCTTTTGCCCTTTCATCCCTATCCCCCACATTCCGATTGATTGGACCAGGGCTCAACTCCTGACCAGATAGGCCCAAGACAATTCTTTATTTGAAGAATTTTGCATGAGGAAGAAATGGTGGTTTGGATGTGGCACTTAGAAAAGAGTTGGCAGTGCATGGGCAAGCCTAAGAGAGCAGCTGCCTTGGTAACCCTCAAGACTGTCCTGATTTCTGCATCCAGTCCTGCATCCTTGTGTTGGACTCCACTCATCCCTCAGCAATGCATAGAGTGAATCAACCCAAAGTTAGTATTACATAGCAACCAGAAGAACCTTGACTAAATCCTGCCAGACTGCTCTAATTCCTAATGATCATGTGTGTTCTGCATGTCTTCAAAGTATTGCATTCTGGGAAAGACTTTTTCTTTAGTAAACCTTCCTTGGTCATGGTATATTATCTCAAAATGGAATCCTAACCCAATGGAACTAAGAGACACTCACTCATTTTTGTAATGAGAAGTTAGGCCTCAGTAAAGTCCCTTACTGCTGGGTGCAATGACACACACTTGTAATCCAGGGGCTTGGGAGGCTGAGGCAGGAGGATCACGAGTTTAAAGCTACCTTCAGCAAGAGCAAGGCACTAAGCATCAGTGAAGGTCCTGTCTCTAAATAAAATACAAAACAGGGCTGAGGATATGGCTCAGTGGTCAAGTGCTCCTGAGTTCAATCCCTGGTTGTCTGTGTCCCCCAGTCTCCCCACCCCCACCAAAAGAAAAAGAAAAGTTCCTTACCTATTGCAGGATGGTCACCATGAGAACTTAGTCGTCTTCCTAGGCTAGGGCCTCTTCATGTTTCTCTGTATTCTGCACTCATCAATGTAATAAACCCAGAAATAGAAGGCATTTCAGTTCACATAAGCTTAAAATGAGAGGAGGGGGATAATTGTTATAAAAATCTGTAAATGCTAACCACTTCTATGACCAGGCCAGATTCTAGCTTTTGGATAGAGTCAAGGGAGTAAAAACCTTCAAGGTTACAACCTGTGGGGTTCACACTCTGATGCCCTTTCCAGGAAGGCACTGAGGAAGGCTTACTGCTAAGGCAGGATTAGAAATGGCTCCAAGTAGCAGGAGAATGGTACTGTGGATTCTGAACTACTGGGAGTGGTCATAAAAGACACTGGGGGGGACTTGTGTGAGCAAAAACCCAAGGACATTTATCTTCAGTTGGGGTTTTGCCTTCCCTTTTCTGCTTGCCTAACACACAGGAAAGTGAGTATTCTTGCTTTAGTGAGTATCACTAAAGTATTTCCTCAGTTTGTGTCTTTCAAACTCTGTGCTGGCACATTCAGGATGCCACAAAACTTCCCTGGAACTTCCCTTGCCTAAGACTGGTAGTGCATCTGTTACCAGATGGCACCACGGAAAGGCATCTGGATGAGTGGGCCTTTAGATGTTCCATGAGTAGATCTTGTAAGCATGGGCTGGGTCAGGGATTCTCTGGGCCCAGTCTCTCTATGGCAGGTATGCAAGCAGCCTAAAAAGAATGGGCTTCAGCTTGAAGAAAGTTGAGATTTGCCAAAGAGCAAATGAGAGATGACGATTGTGACAACTGCCCTTTTCCCTCATCTTCTAATTTCCAAGTCCCATTGTCTTGAATGTGCCTTCAGGCACATCCCTAAATGATCTCAAGCTGGCCTCTTCTACATCATGGTAAGAATCCCATAATGCCATACAACATGTGAGAGTGGTGCTGGCTTAAAGAAGCACCTGGTCAGGGCTTGGCCTTTCAGGTTAAGTGTAGCTCTAGGTGGAGGGCCCCAGCCTCAGGAGCTCATCAAAGCCCCACAGTCCCTTTCAGATTTTAGTTTTCTTCATTTTCGTGAAGAGCAACCACCATTCCTTCTGATTATTCAAGTATTGGTTTCATAAATGTCCACCCTATAAGTATCAGGCCTGTTTATCCTGAAGGGACACAGAAAGGAATAAAACAAACTTTTAGACCCTTTGGGACTTATATTCTACTGAAGAGATGGAAATTGGAATTAGCATCTAAAATGTACTGTGGGCAAGAGATGTGCCTCCGTGGTAGAACATGTGTACCATGCACAATGTCCTGGGCTCCAGCCCCAGCCCTCTCCCCTGCCCCAATAGGTTAATACGATATGTGCTGGGTTTTTTGACTCAAGATGGCCTTTTGAGCCTATGATTTAACTCCTCTACCCACCCCTAAAGTCCTACTGTAAGTCATCAAGCTCCTGCGAAGCTCATAGGGAGAACTGTAGCTTAAAGGAGGAGAGACATGGGGCCTGAGAAGGCATGCCCTTCCATGAGAATGGGTTGCTGTGTCATTCCATTTACTTGCTGCAAGATTAGAACTTTTGGTACTTATTTAGGCTTTGAGTAAGGTGTGGACATCTTGATGTCTGACCATGAAGACCAGACTGTCTCTAAAAAGGGCAAGGATTAGAAGAGCTCATAGGATCAGTCTCAGCTCAGTTAGGACATGTCGATTCTTAGAAACCAGAGACAAGACTAATGTGTGCATATAATATAAAATCATGACCTTGGGAAAACCTGCCTAGCTACTGAACTAAGTCCATGAAATGATGAGCTCCTTGAAAGTTCTACTTTAATGATAATAATAAACAGCATAATTGAGTACTTGCCATAGGCCAAGAACTATCTCATCTGACTCTTATGACAATCTTGAAAGGTAAGTGCTTATTTTTTCCTTTCTTATAAATGAGGAGACTGAAGGTTTTAAGGTAAAGGAATTTTCCAGAATCTCACACCCAAGCTGTGAGACTGCCTCTTAACACTGCTATGCCTGGCAAAAAATAGATGTTTGCTCTTCCTTCTTTTGTTTTCCCCATTAGCAATACTCACCATGGAGTAGCAGATGTCAAAGACTTAAGAAAAATTTATTTACCTTAAAGCAGTAGTTCTTAAACTTTCACATGTCTGGATCCCTTGAAAAGATGTTTTGAAACAGGTTTCTGGGCCTAACAACCAATTTCTGATTTAGTAGATCTGGGGTGGAGCCTAAGAATTTGCATTTTACCAGATTCCTAGATGATACTGTTGCTTTGCTGCAAATTGAGAAATGAGTGTTTTCATTCCTGTTTATTTGAAATGCCATGCTATATAAAATGTAATTTGAAGACCTATTATTCATGACTCACTCAAAGAGGCAAAAGTCCTTTATTAGCATACAGATGTTTATCAGAGCTGAACACTACCACCATCTAAGCACCAGCCCCCTTTCTCAGTCCCTAGGAACCTGAACATGTCTGAGACCCTGAAATCTTGTCTCATGCAAGAGTAAGGGTTAGAAGAGGCCACAGACCAGTTCCACCCCCATAGTCATCAGTAGTTTTCAGTTCTCCAGCTTCAGTGCCTTTGCTGGGAACCCTGACATATTCCTTCAGGCTGTGGTTTGGGCCTATCTGGATGCTACTCGAGGTCCCCATGGAAACTTTTGAACAAATCCTGTCTGATCCATTTCCTATAGTTTGTCTTGTAGGTTTTTGATGCCAGCTGCCCTCTGAGGTCCTGACCATACCTTTCCTGGCCCATCTCCTTTGCTGTCCACCTTCCTAAGTTCCATAGGATACAGGTACCTCATTCTTTGATCTTCTCTTTCCTCTCCATTTCTTCTTCCAACACTTATTTCCTGAGGGCCTGTTATATGCCTGTTCTAGTAGCCATAGATACAGTGCTATCCAGGGCAGACCCGGCATCTGTCCTGCAGTCTAGAAAATGAATAGAGACAATTCAGTCTGATGAGTGCTGTGAGAGACAGTAGGGACCTGTTGGGGGCAATTTTGGTGTGATACCTTCTCCTTTTGTGATTCACAAACTTCTTGACCGTCTCAATCTTTCTCTAGGACCTACCCATTCTGCACATCTCTTTCCTCAAGATAACTATTTCTTGGCTTGGGGATGTAGCTCAGCTTGTGTGTGAGGCCCTGAGTTCCATCCTACGCACTGCAGAAAAAGAAGAGAAATCATTTCTTAATAGTCATGGTGTGCTGGTCACTCCCAACCCCGTGACTGGACCAGGATTCCTTACCAGCATCCTCCATAAGCTCCTTGCCAAATCCTTGCTCCATATCCTCATTTAAACCCTTGCCACCTGGGAAGACTGTCCTCTGATCTCCACTGTTTGCTTGGCTCCAGTCCACTCCTGACTCCATTCTCCAAGATACCACTTCTAGCTTTCTTCACTCCTACCCAAGGCCATCCCAGGAAACATCACTGCTCATGATGTTGATCTGCCCAACAACCTTTTGCTATTTCATTCCTCAGTCACCCATATAACCATCCTTGTCATTTCCTGCAACTGTTCTACGCCTGGCTGCTCCTCACATTTTAGCCCATACCAGCCTCAAGCAAGGCAAGTTTGTATAGTTATAGTTTCCTCCTATTGGAATGGATTAAATAGAAGGAAAAACTTGACTATTCCAGGAAAGTGTTCCCTCACTATTACAGGAGTTAGATTTTTCAAACCAGCCTTTCAAAGAGCTATTTCAAAAGCAATAAGCAAGTGGTTCTAAGGTTTACAAACATAGACCTACATGATAATTGGGTGTGAGGAAGAATGGTCCTAAGGTGATGACTTGGATCAGACTTTCCAGTGAGTGTCAAAGGCATGTTTTAAAAAGTGCTGCTACTCAAACAACTTAAGACACAAGGGATGGAGGTGTGCTTCAAAAAACTCTGGCTATAGATCTAAAGACTTTGAAACACAAGATGCTTGTAGAGAATTTGAATAAAAATTGTTACTTGAAACATGAGAATGGGAAAAAAGCAATATTTTGTATTACTGTATTATTGTATATACTGTTATTTTAAATAAGCATGTGTAAGTAAATAAATTAGCTATTATAAATAGACATCTGACTATTTAATCAACATTCCTAAAAGTATGAATACACAGATGAATATCATAATTTTTTTTTTAAAAAATTCTTTTTCTTTTGAAATCGGAACTTGCTATGTTTCCTGGGCTGGTCTTGAACTCCTGGGCTCAAGCAATCCTCCTGCCTCAGCCTCCCAAGTAGTTGGAACTACAAGCACATACCATCATGCCTAGCTCAAAAATTAAGGAAATGGGGATTTACCTTAAATATAACATTACCTGTTTGCATAGCATTATTCGCTAAGTCCAGATTCCTTATTGAGCATTGAAGATATTGACAGACCTAATCTCAAACTATGAATCTTCAATTCATTTTTGGTTCTCAGAGCTGCTGCCTTTGCTCAAGCAATGCCCATAATCTAAAATGTCTTTCCCCACAGTCTAAAGAAGTCCTTTTCATCTCCAAAGTCTTTGTCACTGCCTCTTTTGCTTCCTCCTTCCAAAAAGTCTTTCCTGATATCCAATTCAGTTGAGTCCCCCTGTGCTGCCCTAACACAGTGTCCAGTTTGGAACCATTGAGTTGATTCAGGACGGGTGTGATGTGGTGCATGCCTGTAATCCCAGCAACTTGGGAAACTGAGGCAGAAGGATAACAATTTCAAAGCCAGCTTCAGCAACTTAGCAAGACCCTGTCTCAAAATAAATAGGGATGGGGATGTGGCTCAGTAGTTAACCACCCCTGGGTTACACACACAAGAATTTTTAATCATGGTCTGTCTCCATCACCAGATGGGAATGAGCTCTCCCAAAGAGCTGGGTTTCTCCTAGGAAATGCTAGGTGGAAAAAAGTTTACTCTAAATGAAGCAGGCCAAGTTAATGGCCTTTCTAGGCTCATCTACCCAGACTCAGAACTAAGCCTTCCTACAATTGGGGGCTGAAAAACCCTATCTACTCTAGCCAGAGGCTAATTTTGAGATGTTCCTCTTGGATTAGTCCAGCAATTCACAAGCCATCATTTATGGGTGCTCAGGTGCCCCTGGAACCCATTCTGGAAGTCTGTAAAGCCAAAATTAATTTTATACTAACGCTAGATGGATTGTTTTTGTCCCTGTATGAATATTTGCACTAAAGATGCAAAACTGATGGGTGAAATTTCCGGCAACAGGAAGAGACACTAAACTGTACCTGTCATTACTTTATTCTTCAACAACATGCACTCTCCAGGAGGGGGAAAGCCAACTTCCCATAACAATGTTCTTGGTGCATCAATAAGAATTACTGGTTTTGTGAAATCTTAACCCTTGAGTACGTTTGGGTTTTTTTTTTGTTTTTGAGAGAGAATATCTTTTTTGTAGATGGACACAACACAGTGCCTTTATTTTTATGTGGTGCTGAGAATCGAACCCGGGTCCTGCCCGTGAATAAACAACACATACCATGAAGCTTCTTACCAATAGGAATTATCAAAGTAATTTAACAAATAATTTGTGTTAACCTTATATTGGTAAGAAGCTTCATGGTATATGTTGTTTATTCAGAGACTGAAATAGAATGTTTATTCATATTTCAGCATATGATATTCTTATGTCACCATATATTAAAATTAGGTATTTTTAACACCCCAAATCAAAGAAAGGTTTGGTCCCTGTTCTCAGTAGCCCCTCAATGAGTAAAACTGTTCCAGTTAATACATTGCTATATTGAAAAAATTATTTAAAACAAGTACTGTTTTTTAAAAACACATTCTGTAGGAATTCATGTAGGCCCATCAGGAATGGCTCATCTTCTGTCCCACATGGTATTGGGGCTGAAGGATCCAAAACACCTCACTAAAATGTTCCATGACTCTCTCCACTCATGGTTTGAACACTTAGGACTGCTTGGGAGTGCCCAGACTTGTTAGGTAGAGTGGGCTGGATTCACTTATAACTGAAAATTTGATTCCCCAATCAGTCTTCTTGTGCTCTATCCAGTCACTATCCCCCAAAGGGTAGCACTACCCTAACTTCTAGATTTAATTTTATTGGGTTTATGTCTGGCTTTCTCTCTTTTTTTTTCCTTTTTGGATTTTTGTCTGTTTGGGTACTAGAGATTAAATCCAGGGCTTCATGCATGAGTGCTCTACCAGTAAGCTACATCCCCAGCCTTTTAAAATTTTTGTTTTGCACTAAGTTGCCAAGGCTGGTCTTGAATTTGTGATCCTCCTGCCTCAGCCTCCCAAGTAATGGGGTTATAGATGTGTATCAACTCATGATCTGCTTCCTGTTTGGCTTGTTTTACTCGGAATTATGTATGTGAAAGATTCATCTACATATTGCTTATAGTTGTCCTGCATTCATTCTTGCTATTCAATATCCTGTGGTATGCATAAATCATAATTTATCCACTCCTTCATTAGTAATTATTAAGGTAGTGCCAAGTGCTCCTATGAACACTCTAGGACACGTAGTATGTTTGTATTAGTTAGCCTTTTTGTCACCATGACCAAAAGACCTGACAAGAACATTTAGAAGGGGAAAAGTTTATTTGGCACACAGTTTCAGAGGTCTCAGTCATAGACTGAATGTGCCCACCAGGAAGCAGAGAAAACTGCTTACCAGGAACAAAATACATACCCCAAAAACACACCCCAGGGATCTACCTACTCCATCTACACCCTACCTGCCTACCATTACCATCTGGTTAATCCATTCCATGTATTGATTAGATGAAGACTCTGGAACAATCAGAACCTGATTGTTTCACCTCTAAATTTTTTTTCTTGCCTTGTCTCCTGAGTTTCAGGGGGAGACCTCATATCTAAATCATAACAATAGTGTGTGTCTATGTATATGTGTATATATATATATATATATATATATATATATATATATAAACATAAACATATATTATATATATAAACATTTCTGTTCCAGCCGATGTGGTGACACAAGTCTGTAATTCCAGTGGCTCAGGAGACTGAGGTAGGAGGATCGCAATTCAAAGCCAGCCTCAGCAAAACTTAGGCGCTACACAACACAGTGAGCCCTGTCTAAACAAAATAGGGCTGGGGATGGGGCTCAGTGGTCAAGTTCCCCTGAGTTCAATCCCTGGTACAAAAAAAAAAAAAAAAAATTCTGTTCGGTATATACCTAGCAATAGAATTGCTGGGTCATAGACAGTACACATACTCAATATTGATAGAACTAATAAGGGACAGTCCCCGGTTCCCATGGCACGACTGGGCGGAGCAGTGTCGCCGCCAGCGCGGGGTGGGGGGGATCAGAGTGCGGAGGTGTCGGGGCAGCCCTCGGGTCCTAGGTCCCCAGAAGCAAGAAAGATGGAGGAAAAGAATGAAGGAAGACAGAGGAATATCCTAGCCTAGAATATTATCATTTCTAAGGACACCTTAAACTGGATACCAGCACCATTTGTTGAAGATGCTATCCTTCCTCCATTACATGCTTTTAGCCCCTTTATCAAATATAAGATAGTTGTAGTTTTGTGGATTGGTTTCTGTGTCCTCTATTCTGTACCTTTGGTCCACCCGCCTGTTTTGGTACCAGTACCATGCTGTTTTTGTTACTATTGCTCTGTAGTATAGTTTGAAGTCTGGTATCGCTATACCGCCTGATTCACACTTCCTGCTTAGCATTGTTTTTGCTATTCTGGGTCGTTTATTTTTCCATATGAATTTCATCATTGCTTTCTCTATTTCTACAAGAAATGCCGTTGGGATTTTGATTGGCATTGCATTAAACCTATAGAGAACTTTTGGTAATATCGCCATTTTGATGATGTTAGTTCTGCCTATCCATGAACAGGGTATATTTTTCCATCTTCTAAGATCTTCTTCTATTTCTCTCTTTAGGGTTCTGTAGTTTTCATTGTATAAGTCTTTCACCTCTTTTGTTAGGTTGATTCCCAAGTATTTTATTTTTTTTGAAGATATTGTGAATGGAGTGGTTGTCCTCATTTCCATTTCAGAGGATTTGTCGCTGATATACAGGAATGCCTTTGATTTATGCGTGTTGATTTTATATCCTGCCACTTTGCTGAATTCATTTATTAGCTCTAATAGTTTCTTTGTAGACCCTTTTGGGTCTGCTAGGTATAGAATCATGTCATCTGCAAATAGTGATAATTTAAGTTCTTCTTTTCCTATTTTGATGCCTTTAATTTCTTTCATCTGTCTAATTGCTCTGGCCAGTGTTTCGAGAACTATGTTGAACAGAAGTGGTGAGAGAGGGCATCCCTGTCTTGTTCCAGATTTTAGAGGGAATGCCTTCAATTTTTCTCCATTCAGAATGATGCTAGCCTGAGGCTTAGCATAGATTGCTTTTACAATATTGAGGTATGTTCCTGTTATCCCTAGTTTTTCTAGAGTTTTGAACATAAAGGGATGCTGTACTTTGTCGAATGCTTTTTCCGCATCTATCGAGATGATCATATGGTTCTTATTTTTAAGTCTATTGATGTGGTGAATAACATTTATTGATTTCCGTATATTGAACCAGCCTTGCATCCCGGGGATGAATCCTACTTGATCATGGTGCACAATTTTTTTGATATGTTTTTGTATCCGATTCGCCAGAATTTTATTGAGGATTTTTGCATCTAGGTTCATTAGAGATATTGGTCTGTAGTTTTCTTTCTTTGAAGTGTCTTTGTCTGGTTTAGGTATCAGGGTGATGTTGGCCTCGTAGAATGAATTTGGAAGTTCTCCCTCTTTTTCTATTTCCTGAAGTAGCTTGAAAAGTATTGGTATTAGTTCCTCTTTAAAGGTTTTTGTAAAACTCTGCTGTATACCCATCCGGTCCTGGGCTTTTCTTAGTTGGTAGTCTTTTGATGGTTTCTTCTATTTCCTCAACTGATATTGGTCTGTTTAGGTTGTCTATATCCTCCTGACTCAATCTGGGCAGATCATATGACTTAAGAAATTTATCGATGAAATGGTGCTGGGAAAACTGGAAATCCATATGCAACAAAATGAAACTGAATCCCTTTCTCTCGCCATGCACAAAAGTTAATTCAAAATGGATCAAGGAGCTT